CACAAAAGAATTCTCAAATGTCACAAATGTCTTTCTCCTATCTGTGTGAATGATATGCTCTAGTCTCGGTTCTTGTGTGTTTGTGTAGCCTGTCCTGATACCAGGTTCGGTGACGGAGAGGAGAGTATCGTGTGGCTCAGGCTCTGGCTGTTTGGCAACATCTAGAAGCTGCTTTACATCCTCCTCGATCCATCTTTTTCATGCACATTCAAGTCTATGTATCGTTTCTTCTAATAGATTGTCTATGTTTTAATTTTATTGTGTTGGTCTGTTCTGTACACACAACATCTACTGCATCCTGAGAGAGGGGATGGATTTTTGGGGAGTTATTTTTAATCCGAAGAAAGGATCGAAAAGTGCAGAGGGTGTCATATGCTATACAGGCTGTAAAGCCCCTGAGGCAAATTTGTGATATTGGGCTACATAAATAAAACTGACTTGACTTGACACGCTCACATGCACAAAGCCTAACTAATGGAATAGGCCAACCAATCACAATAAAGTGCAGAGGTTACCTGGACTATCTTGTGTCCATTTTATCATTGGCGGGTCTGAAGTGGGAGAAAATACTGGCAAATATGAGTGAGTTAACTAACCTCTCGCTGCCTGGGGTGGTGATCCTGTAAAACCGGTGTCTCAGGTGATGCTTGTCTCCATGGTAACAGGTTGTGCAAAGGTCGTAATTGGTGCATTCAGCACATTTCCAGCGAATACCAATGATGGGCTGTTGACGGCAGGTGTCACACATGGTTCCATCGTGCTTGATACCTGAGGGATGGCAGTATCGGTCAACATCAATAAACTTGGATATATATATTAGTATATGCAAAAAGAAAAAACAAAACATGTTCTGTATGCAATCTGGACTCTGTATTTGACAAACTTTTACATAATTGTGTGTACCATACCATATGTTACTTGTCTATATTCCCCATAACTTTTGGGAGTGCTATATTCACGCTCACAACATCTGACACTTGTTAATGTGAGAAGAGCTGGACACATTTTGGCGTTAATGGCTCTAATCAATTATTTTTCAATGCTGATACTTAAGAATCATGAAAAGCACTCCTGAAAACACTCAACTGCTCCTCATCCCATGGCTGCATCACCAGGTGGATATGTAAGGAAGTGTTACCATGTTGGCATGTAATACTTTTCACAAATACAGAGAGGTAAAGCTAGACAGTGTTGAAGTGGTCCTTTAAACATTTGTGTCTGCGGTTCTTCAGAGTACATCCTACTGATGCTCCTTTATATACTAAGAAAAGTGGGTTGTTTTTCTCTCTCTCTCTTAATGTGTAACTTGAAATCAAAGGCTATGTTGACGTATATTTGAATCTGAGCATTGTATATCTTGTAGATCTCTAAGTGCTGTCTGTGACATCAATCTGTTCAGACAGGATGTATTCAAATACTAATGTTGCTTTGATGCAAATAGTCTGCGCTCAACACACATAATAGACCAGCAACACCTAATTTGCTGCTTCCAAATATTATAAACACAGACTTGCTTCAACAGCCTGTTTTGAAAAGCAGACACTTAGCGTCACTACTTAGTCTTAAAGTGCTGGTAAACAAAATCAACTGATGGAAAGTTACCTGTTGGGGCACTGTCTAGTATCCGCACGTCGTAAGCTCCAGAACAACGGTAATTAGCAGCCGTCCCATTATCCCAGACAACAACCACCTCCTCTGGACTTTCAAAACTCCTGACGGTGCCAACATGTCCCTCTCCACCATCCTGCTTCCCCCACTTCCAGTCAGGTCCGCGGACCACTCTCGCGCCGACTCCTTCCATCATCGCTCGGTTATTCCTGCCGGTAGTCATTTAAGAAAAACGACTCGCACTGCTGAAACAATTCCGTCAAGTTCGCAAGCTAGCAGCCTTTGCTAGCAGCCAATCGGTGCGCTGGTGGACAATTTCCCAATGCAAGTGCGAGCAAGTCCTAACAGGAAAGAGGCTGGAACAATCCACAAAGCTAGCCTGCTAGCTAAGTAGCTAAGTTAGCTACCTAAGGAGGCTGTTAGACCCTCTTGCTGAAACTATTCCCACAAGCTAACGTTCCCCCAAGCCCAAGCTTTCTCAGTGTTGCATCTGAGAATGAGAAACTAATTACCCTAAAAGCCTATTAAGTAGCCATGTTGCTAGCTTAGCCAGATTTGAGTGCCCAGCAAGCTGGCTGTCTCTCTCCTCCACTCCACACACAAGAATGCCACCTCTTCAACTTAGCAAGCTAGCGAGCCGAGTTGCTAGCTATCGCAATGCTAGCAAGATAAACCTCTCCTGGCTAGCAAGTCCCTTCCGTTGAGGTAAATGTAGTCCTTTTGGTTGCTGCTTATCCTTTTTGATGTTGTCCGTTGCGCCGATAATCCATCCAAGATGTTTCCTTTGTCAGCCAGAGATGGTTCCCTGGAGTCAACTCAGAATAAACGCGTCGCCATTATTGTCAATCATCGTTCAGACCTCAGACGAGCAACAACTAGCTACGGAGGTAAACGACAAAGCCCGAAGATGCGTGGCTTGGAAAACAAGCACGAGTCCGGGCCCACGGCGCGCGTGCGCATCTGCCGAGTGTAAGCCCAGTCCAGCTGTGTATGAAGAAAAACACAATATCAGTATTTTAGATACTAATTAATGATGTAGATACACACAGATATATTTTTAAATTCTCTAATAAACTGGTTCCTAATCAGAACAATAATTTAAACGTACCCACCTTTTATAAATGCCTTAATTTGCAATGTTAAACACACCAGTTATTTAAACACAATTAAACAATCAGTTTATTTTGTGGAACAAAGGTTAAATTGTCTACATTATTTACATAGAAAATGTACATGTATTATGTCCAGGCGTAGGGATATAGGCTACACTATATAAACCAACACTGATTAACTAATTAATACTTTATACATAAGAATATATTCACCTCTGCGTATGAAATCATACACCTACTAGATATATTGCCTATACAGCTTATACTGCACACAGATTTATTGTGGTATCATTACAGCTGTCTGAGCTGATGGAGGCTGACATTAATTCAGATACTCATCTTTAAATGAAATCCAGCCCACAGAGAAGAAACAGTAGCAGCATGAGTGTGTCAAAGGCCACCAGCTGCTATTAGTAAAGAGAATATGTGTTTTCTTATTTAAAGGCAATGTAATGAATCATACTTGATATAGTTATTATCTGTTTTCCATACATTAACTGGCATACTGAATGTTCTTTTTTATTATTTACTAATTGATCTGTCTGTGATTTTTCCAGTGGCACAACAAGACAAAAACAAATGTAAGCTACAGATGCATTACTCAGTGAAAACCGTTAAGTCCATTAATAAATACTTAAGGGATGCTGCAATGATTTATAGCCACTGACCCCAAAGTCAAGAAGATGAGACAAACAAGGCCACTTGTATTTATAGTAACAAGTAGATACGGGTTCAACCTCAACCTAATGAGGCCATGGGTGAAACACATTGTTTGTAACATTTCAAAGAAGACTACATTAAAAGAAGAAGCAACTCAGCTCTAGTGTGTGCAGTGTATCTGCTCATTTACTATCAGTCTGACGTTTCCTGCCATCACCTGCAACTTATAAGGACTGACAGCACTGTGTACAGGGCATGTGCTTTTGAACAAGGCTGCTTGTATGTTCATCTAGAACCAAATTGTGCAAGATTGTATTGATCGTCTCCTCACAATTCAAATGTTAACTCCATTTAAATGTTTTCAAGTGCAGTTTGGTCATGGGGTCATGCACAGCTGTTGAGCTAGAGTTTGCATCTGTGGTAATATCGGACTTGCCAGATAGCCTACTGCACATGCTTTACAAGGTTAGGATAGACTAGTTCTGAAATCAGACTACAGTAGTGTTGTGTGGACTTGTATTAGCATTGACCAGGGGTGTCAAATGTAAGGCTCGGGGGCCAGAACCAGCCCGCCTAAGTGTCCAATGACCTTGCACACCTAATAGTGATGCACTTGTGGAGGCTTAGAGGTGCCAGGTTTCAGGAGTAAATTAAACATTGAGTAGCTTTCTTCTTGTATGCTGCTTCAGTGGCCTTTTACAGCTTGGTGTGGTGATGTCAGGAGTACTACACAGGAGTGGAAATGTACAGAAAAATACACATGTAATGACTGTGAGCAGTCTGATGACACCACGGGCAGTTTGTCATCTGTTTTATACACAGATTAGCATCATCAAAATGTACTTTTTTAAACCAAAAAAGGGGAAAAATGGTTTATTATTTGTTATTTATAAGATATTATGCAGTGGGTTTACTGGTCCAGACCAACTGCGATCAAATCAGACTGTATGTGGCCTGTAAACTAGAATTAATTCATTCATTCTGTGCACTGTGTAAGCATTAAGCAGAAATCCACTTGGTAAAATGCTCCATCTAAGTCCAATATGAAATGAAATTTTTAAAAAAGGGGGTAAACATAGATTTTAACTCATGGGCCTTTCCTACAAGATGAAGCCTGTGATTAGGGATTGAGAGGCTACAGGTGTTGCCTTCAGGCGCCTTTCATTTCAGTTTATAATGTGCTTTATTGGTGCATACAGTACTAACAAACACAATCCCAGTTAATTAAATGACCACAGTCTAATTGCCACATGGTGAACCTAGTGTTTGGGCCCCCTGTGGGTCTGCAGCCCCTGGGGCAATTGCCTGCTCTTCCTGGCTTTGAATGCAATTTTTCCAGTGGACTGCCACCGTGATTATCTTTCAGAAAGCTGGATGTTTTCAGTGATGCTCATGCTGTCATTGCAAATATCTATTTAATTGTCTTTTGGCTGAGTTACATGCCACTGAAGGGGATGATGACTCCCAGGCTCATGATGCTGAAACTGCAGCTCCGCATGGTGCACTTCATACCTGTGGCCTACAGGGGGCGATAGCCGGACCGACTGACTGAGCGGCTCCATTGATAGCTGGTCAAAGAGCGCCACCGCTCGCTGACACACACACACACACATACACACACTCGGTATATATCCCCACATCAGGTCCCCTTGACTGTCTCCTTCACACAGTGGGCTCGCAGGCAGACACAGCTGACTTTCACCCGAGCTGGCCGCTGTCCTTGCAGTAACGAGAGGCAAACAGGGAGCTTGCAATGATCTCGCTGGACTTCAATTTCAACATTTTGACTCGGGACCTGTCGCATTATCTGGAAAATCAAGTGAAAGTTGGGCTGTTCGGGTCGGGAGTGGGACTGTCTCTGGTGCTGGGCTTTAGCGCAGCGTACACCTGCTACTATCTGCTCTCAGTAGCGAAGGTAAGTAACCTCATGCTTTATAACCTGCGTTTAAAGGGGCTGCTGTTCGCCTCGTAGCCGTGTGTGTGCACGCCAAACCGCTGTGTGTGCTTTTCAAGGTGGAGCATCATCATCACCACCAGGCGGGTGATGATGATGCTCCACCGGTGCTTTTGCTGATGGAGGTTTCGATTAGGCTGCATCTGTCCGCCGGTGGGCTAACGTTAACACATGTGGGGTGGCTGTCAGGCACATTTAACCAGCATTAACCAGCGTATTTAACTGATTAATAATCATATCTGCACCATTGTGTTGCACTTATGTAACTACATCACATCCATCCGTCGGAAGCAGGTACAGTTAATGTCGGCTTTTACTAAGCTAAGCTAACATTAACGGTTACTGTGTGTGTGTTAGCTAGAGATGCCGGCTGCAGGCTCTGTGTGTGATGCATGGTGAGTTCAGGTGACATCCTGTGATAGCTGGCAGAGACTCACGTTGTTGGCTTTATGTAACAATAAATCACCCGTTTAATATGTTTATTATGCATGAGTTCAACATCAAGATAACAAAACAACAAACATATGGTGTACATACTGAATCTGTGTGAATTAAACTACAATTAAATGAACTACATTAACATCAGACCAACATTTCCTGCAGTGGGATGATTTAAAACAAAGGGGTGGCTAATAGCATAAATTATGCAACAAATCTATATTGTTAAATTTACAAAGCACCATGCCATAATGTGTTATGCAGAGCTAATGCATGCATGCATGAGTTATTATCATTTAGCATTGTAGAGACCTTAAATGCAGATGCATGCAGATGTGTTTTAGTCTCAACCTTGCTTTCTGTGACATTTTAATCATGCACAACAACTGAAATCATCTCATTTGTATGTTTTGAGATGTGCACTGTAAAATCTTGGGAACTGATTGCCTTCAAAAAGGGGATTAAATATTACTATCACTCTGAAGTAGGGCTGCAAGGCAACGATTAGTCGACTAATTGACGACTAATCGACTATTAAAATAATCAGTGACTATTTTAGTCGTCGACTAATCGGTTTGAGTCATTTTTCATAGAAAAGTACTGTAAAAGTACCCAAAATACTCTTATTGCAGCTTCTTATGTTCAAATATTGGCAGCTTTACACACTCTCCCATGACGGTGAACTGAGACCCTTTGGCGTGAGTACGAAACAAGACATTAGATGACATCATTTTGGGATTTGGGAGAGACAGACTGACATTTTCCAACATTTTAACACATTTTTCGATAAAATGATTAGTCGACTAATCGAAGAAATAATCGACAATGAAAATAATCATTAGTTGCAGCCCTACTCTGAAGTTATGTTAACTTTATATCTGATTGTTTAAATGTAGTTTTATTTACTTTGTGAAATTGCTGCAATGTAAAAATCGCAACTGAAATAACTTGTGTTGCAACTTAAGTAAAGCAAGTTACTTAACTTGATCATGACAGAGAGGATTTTGCATGTGATGGACTTAGGATACATATATGTTCTGTGGTTCTGTACTGAATTTTAAGCGAACTTAATTAGATATAAAGTAAACATAACTTAAGACTACTGGTTATATTTACTAATCTTTTAAGGCAATTGACTTTTAAGACTAATAGTTATGTGATTCATTGATTTTTATTTGTGTCATGCACACGTACATGTGCCTGGCCCTCATGTAACAATCAAAAGTACATTTTATTTAATTACTCAGTCTAGAAACAGAATACTCTGGCAAAGAGCCACAAAGAGGTTCCCTTTCTGAAACAAAACTCAAATTTTTCATGACCTTTCACCCAAAAGAAATCAACATAGATAGAGGTCATCTTACATTCCTTATGTCTTCATATACAAGTCAGTGAAACAAGGAGTGAACCTCATTCTCAACTTCACCTAAATTACACCAGTTATATTTACAAACCTTTTTAATGCAGATAGTTTTTACAAAATGATGTAACAAAACATGACTTAGTGTTTTATTACAGTGATGGACCAGTTGAGTCATGTTATATAACATCACAATAATGAAAAAACACAAGTAACTTTTTAGTCAAACACTTCATTCACTTGTCTTTTGCAGAAGCCACAGCTCATCTCAGGGGGCAAGAAGTTCTACCACTTTCTGAGGGAGCAATGTCCGGTAGTGTCAGAGACCTACTACCCCACCTTTTGGTGCTGGGAGAGCCGCATCCAGACTCTGCTGAGACCCTTTGTCACAGCCAAACCTGGAGTTGTCTACAGAAAGTAAGTCCTCTCTATGACTGACATAATAACACAACACACAAGCTTTATTCCCCGTGCAAGCAGACACACCTCACCTGAATCTGAAGTCATACAAAGGCCAGAGTACATATCCATGATGAGATAAGCCTGAGTCATGCAAACTAGAGAGTTCACCTTTGACATAGTACAGTGCAGGTGCATTTTCATTTGCTCTCTTATTGTGACACTCTAGAGAAATTAAATGCTGCTGCAGAACTTTTCATGCAGTTAAACGCTTTATTAAGAAACTTCAGAAACTAGATTGGTCACTGAAAAAACTGCCGTTGCGTGTTTCTTGATTTCTTGCTTACTCGTTTCACAACTGCAGATCCAAGTAACAAATCCGAGTCTTGTTCTTAGGCAACACTCGGAGGCTCAGAGGAAAAAGAGATCTTTTGTGCCACAATGCTGGCTCGGGCCGCCCTGCCGCCCTGCCGCCCTGCTCCTTGATAATGTACATTCTGTCGAAGATTAATTGCCACTGCATTCCTTGCCCACTGCGGACATAAAGGAGATTAAAATGAATTAAGAGAGACTTAGTTTTCATTGTTACACTCTCATGTAATGTGTTTCATGTATTCAAACATTCCTTAATTTCCATAGCCTTTGTTTTGGGCTAGATGTATGTGTGTGTGTATACAATATAACTTGTGCATGTATTATGTGTGGTGAGTGTGAGTTGTTTGTCAGCTAGGTTGGAGAAAGTAACACCTTAACTGCAACCTTAACATGAAAGTTTAGATTGATTATTTAAAAATCAGTGAAAATAGGCGCTGTTAAATCACCAGTATCGGCCAAAGCTGGAATAAATCTATACTGGATCTGTTAACTGGAGTTTTGTTGTGTTTCCTGTTTATACACTTGATCATATTGAGACATTGGATCGTGATTGTTGTTGTTTGTTGTTGTTGTTGTTGTTGTTGTTGTGGCAGTTTTTAGTTCTTCAGTTGAATTATTAGTCGCATAATTTGTCTGTCCCAGTAACATTCACACTGCCTCTGCTCTTGATGGTCTCCTTTGTCAAGGAGACAAATATTCCCATCATGCAAAGGGACTGTATTCACCTTAGTCCAGCTGTGTGTTATTTTGCACCGTAAGACTGGTGGTCACATTCACTGAAATTATTATCACATTTCCTCCGGGGACAACAGGACGCCCCACCTCCATAATGAAGTTACTCAAGGTTGCCCCAAGGACGGACACTGTGAAAACTGTCCTATTTGTCGTCGGCTGTCAGGGTGAAATTCCACTCATCTCATTGTCCGAGCGCAGGATTAGCAGCGGGTCTCCTCCCACTCTGTGTGCTGGTCATTCTGGATTGGCCCTCGCTGACTTTAAAGTCTAGCTTCAGGTGCATATTTCATGGAGGTTCTGTAATTTCATGCTGATGTCTTTACCGCCGGCCAGCCAAGTTGGCTCACTGGCCGCGGTGTGTGTGTGCAGTGCAGGTTTTAAAATGCACTAGCACTGGGACTAAATGACCTCATCTGCCAGGCTAGGGTTGTATAGCCCAGAAATTGATTGACTATAACAACCCAGTGGTGCAGTGCCCTCCTCCTTATCTTAACTTGCTGTGTGTTGCAAAGTACACTGACAAGATAATCACAGGGGAAATGAGGCAGCTGTAAGTGAGCATTCTACTCACATCTCCAATTCCCCTTTGGGAGTGCTTGTGACGGATACAATGAAGTAGTCACTTTACCTGCAACTGAACAGAACATTTTAATTGTGCAAAGATTAAAACTAGAAAATGTTAACAGTTTTTAAAGGCCACTCAGTGAGCAGATCATATCAGTGTTGTCCTGTGTGTGCTTGAGTGTTTACACGTGTTTGAATGAGACATATAAATAGATACATAGAGATACAGGCAGAGGGTAATATTCAGAACGATCCTCATTGCTGAGTTGCGTGTCTCGCTTGTCTCTGCAGTGAGCTTATTAAGGCAGCAGATGGAGGACAGATCTCTTTGGATTGGTTTGACAACGACGAGAGCCTCTCTCATCCCGACCCGGCCACTAGGCCCACAGTCCTCCTCCTACCCGGTCTGACCGGCACCAGCCGAGAGTCCTACATCCTGCACATGGTCCAACAGAGCCGGGATCTGGGCTATAGGTGGGTGGTCTTGGCTGGATAACCTGGCGGCGGTCCAGCGCTGAGCACATATTCAGGGCACTAAATCACACAACTGACACTCTCTGTGCCTTATGCTACGATTCACCATTCATCTAGCATCCAGTCAAAATCAGAGTACCACACCAATATTGATTAAAACATAAAACCTGACACCTACTTTGGGAATATTTTGTAACTTTTATATAATGGGTGCATGAATGCCAGGGACTTGCGGTTATTTAAGGTGAACAAATAAAAGTGGGCAGCTAAGCTCTGTGTCAAGGGCTGCTTTTTTGTAAATAGCCAAACGTAGCACAGGCTCGAAGAGTTGCAGAGTGAGGCAGTTTTTCCCCCCCTTTTCCCTCTCCAATAGGCCCTTTCTCCGTGTCTCTGCACTCATTCTTTCACCCAGATTTGGGAAGGCATGGGAAGAGAGCCGGCAAACTCAGCATCTTCCACCCCTCACCCCTGTCTGTGTAGCTTAATGAATTACAGCTTATCCCGGTACAAGCTTTGCAGCTTAGCTCAGACCAGCTTCCGAGTCTGTGCTGCAGTGTGTGTTTAAGCAACCTCCCACATACACACACACACACACACACACACACATACCCACACACACACACCTCTCTGTCCTCCTGCCCAACACCCCATCTAGCCCCACCCTGCTTCTGAGTTACGCCGACCAAAACAGCAGTTCTGACTCCAGATAACAGATGAGAGGAGGGATGCTGATGCCTTTGCTCCACAGTACAAACAGAATGCTCTTCACACGGCTGTGCCTCTCTGCACATCTCATCATATTCCCCACTTCAGTGTTTTGTTTTTTTTTAAGTAAGGAACATTTGTTTAAAGGAATTTGGGCCATCGTGCTCCTTGAACATGGAGGTCGGTAACCTGTAGTGACAACAAAAAAACAAGCGTAAGCTCAACAGAGCTCGTAAATGTTTCCTTCCTTGTATGCATGCTTTTGATTAAAAAGCAAACTCAAACTTGTCATTTATTTTCTTGAGCAACATATATTCAAATTGCTTGTTTTGTCTGTCCATGAGTCAGAAACACAAAGATATGCAGTTTGTAATTATATATGAAAGTAAAGCAGAAAATACAAGTTGCTGATTTATTTTCTGTTGATCGACCACCATTAATTGTTTCATCTCTATCTGAACTTGTTTTAGCTACAGTCAATATATAAAGTGGTTAAAGGACTCACGTCTGAGACTGTAATAATTTAGTACCCGTTTTTGTGTATTTCAGATGCGTGGTTTTCAACAACAGAGGAGTTTCTGGTGAAACGCTGCTGGTAAGTATCTAACCTGTGTCATAGTTTTTAACCAGAGAAGGTATAAAAATGATGGACGTAGCCACCGTGACATTACCCATTTGTTTGTGGACTCCCATTTTGAAGCCTTGAGTTTGGCATTTTGGCAGTGGAAACTTGGATCTTTGGAGTGACCATTTTTGGATGAACCCTAACGCCTTGTTTCCACTTACATATGTGTACGGAGACGAGGCAACCGCAATCCATTCATTCCTATGCTCCTCTCCTTTGTAATATTTCGGCCCGGAATTTTCTGCGAGTATTTTAAGTATTTTATGACAGTGTGCTAACTTAGCTAACAGGCTGCTAACTGGCTAACTGGCTATTTCCTTCAGTTCAGATGCCTGTGTTGATTGTCGAAAACGGATATCCAAACTACTGGATGCTGAAAAACAGAAAAAATTAGCCTCTCCTCCACAGCCACATGTAGTTTCTATCAGGTGTCTATCCATACGTAAAGAAATGCACTTGCTTGCGTTGGACACTAGAAGCATCAGCCGTATATTTACAGATCTACAGACACCAGTCACATACGTAAGTGGAAACGAGGCGTAATGATAACTGCTACCTTGGTTAGCATGGTGCATTAATGGTCTGTGGTTAACTGCAATAATGCTTATGCTAATACTATTTTCCACTTCCAAAAAACAGGCTTAAAACCGATAAAACAAAATGTACACACTGGAAAATTGAACATCTGACTTCTTTGGGCAGAGATACTCAACTTGCGTATTTTCAGCCTTTGCTGAATGCAGGGGTGTTTCTAGGATGTGACCCTTAGAGGGTCTTTTATTAAAACTAAACTCCGAACAAGACTTTTTCAGGTGAGCAAAATATTACAATTAACTTTAATTAACTGAAAACATGCTGAAATAACGACAGCTACAGCTACGCCAATACTCTTTGAATCCGGGGTTACGCCATGGTTACATTGCCTGATTAACATTGTTGCTTTGGTAGAGACTTGTTACAGACAGCACCCAACTTTCACTCAGAGGGGCCATGTCGTTAATTATGCATAACTTAAAGCCCTAATAAAATGTAAACGGGTGAGTTATTAAAAAATTCACGCCACTCCAGTTGTCATGAAAGGTGAAATTAGTTTAAGAGACCAAACCTTTACTGTACCACGCTGTGAACATGTTAATTTCTGCTGCGAAGTTTGGCATTGCAACGTTAGGCATGTGAGGACTGACTCACTTTTGCAGCCAGCCCCAAGTGGCCATTAGAGGAACTGCAGTTTTTGGACATTCCCGTGTCCAAGGTTGCTGCTTGTTTTCAGCCTGTTATTCTTTGATATTTCATGTCTACAGTTGTCTTGTCCATATTCAAAAGACAGACATGTATACAGGATAAAAAGGATGAGGGCCAGTTGGTTTTTCCATTTGTCAGTGTGACAGCTTCCCCGTGGAGTTGTCCTTTTCACTGCTTCATCCAGCGCAGAGCACGTCTATTCCACACGTGTCATAGAGCCCACAGGGAGCCTAAGCGGATGCTGCACAGACAATGTTGTTGCACAGCAGGGATTAAGTTGCAGACAGATACTGTATTTTAATGCCGATCCACAGAAATATGACCTCATCAAGCACGTGCTGTTCTGACACCTGGCTTAATCTGTCCTCTTACACCCGGGTATATTTAGCCAACAAAATGGGCCCGAGCTCTGATAGCGCATAACGTGCCTGCTGTGTTTTATGTCTCCCCTTCTCTCTCTGCACGTCTTTGGAACAGAGGCATGCTCTTTACGGACGCCTGTGTCACCCTGATCTAATCATACCACTTCGCCACCATACAGAGATCTCATTCATGGCACAAATGGTGTTTCATTACAGGCAGGGATTGCCCACAATCAATCTAATGTTCCTCTTAGTGGATGTAAATCTGAATCAGTTGCTGATCTGTGACCTGCTGTTGTCTTTGTCGTATTCTGTCTCAGCTGCATAAAAAAAGGGTAAAAGTGACACTAAAGTGTCCAGTGTCAGTTTGATTCAAACCTGTATTCTAGGTCATAGCCAGAATTTAGTTGGCTCAGCTGTCCACTGATTTAAAAAAAAAGAATTTTAAACTCAATAACCTTGGCACTGCACCAAGTGGTGGGGGTAAGACGGGACTTTTCTCCCTCATTTCACTTGGGAATTGTGCTATATTCTATGCAAATGATGTAGCATTTGTATGCTCCTGTGAGTGTTTTCTCCGTGTCCACTTAGTGTGAATATCGTCCATTGTTTAAATAGGCCAGTGCTTTAGTTTAGAATGACCCGCTGTGTGAAAGATGCCCCCTGCCTCAAAGACTGTCCTGAGTGCTAGTGCCCTATTTCTAGAACTCGTAAAAAGCCAATTACATTACACTTTCCTGTGGAGTAGCTTTGCACTGCAGAACTTTAAATCTGCTCAAATATTTACCCCAACTATTGGTATTATATTTTTCTTTGAAACATCTTTACATAGTATAATTCAGTTTGTAAGTTTAGCTGTTTCACTGCGGAGTCCAGAAGTTGTGCAGGCCGATTAGAGGAACCGTAAGAGAGTAGGAAAACAGGAATTTACTTCGCCTGTGTTTCTGCTTGAATCTTAATGAAGGGTCTTGGAGAGCTGAGGAGTCAACTGCAGCCTGAGAAGTTGGACTTGTTAAATGGGCTCCTTTGAGTTAGAGCTGGTTTTGTTTTGTAATGTTAAGTAACCTGCTCTGCCTGACAAACTGTTTCAAGTTGAAATGGATTCTCCCCCTTCTCCCAAAAATCACAGAACAGTGTTCAGTGTTCGTCAGCATCAGAGCCTGAATAAATAATAATGATATACTGTTGCAACATTAGACAAAGATTTCACTCTTTTGTGCCGGCAAAAATAACAATTCCATTTATATACAGCAGGTTACAGACTTAAAAATAAATCCTCCGTCCACACCTTCACTGATTTATAATGAGTGTGGCCTCACTTCTGCAGTGCGGTGGATGTCTGGGGTGATACCTCACACCTCTGACAGTGTAAAACACAACTTGGAGCAAAACATATCGTCATAACAACAGAAATTACCAACTGCATAATTGCTGTTTGCATTTTAAAGGCGGTATAGTGAATTGTACTGGCTGTTTGAAGCTCAGGGTTACACCTAACGATTATTGTTGCGATCCCAAGGTGACGTCTTCAATCATCTTGTTTTGTCCAACCAAAACCCAAAGACTAATGACATGTCAGAGGATTGTTTCTATCCATCAACCTCATGGTTATGAGCCCAGTACATTTTCTCTGCACCACTCTGCTACATACTCCTCATAGGACTTAAACCCACAATCCCTTGCGTAGAAAGCCAATCCTTCATCCATTAAAGCAATGGAGCTGGTGCAGCTGCCGGGGAGCCAGTCTGCACCAGGCAGTGTTCAGTGTTAGAAACATTGACACTGTGATCCCTTCTACTTTATGACTGGGATGGCAGCCTTTGTGCAACGTAGGTTCAAGGAATCATAAAGGAGTTCAGTCCCTGCTGGATGTTGTAGATGCTAGATGTTTAAATATCTTGTTTTGTCTGAACAACAGTCCCAAACCCAAAGATATTCAGCTTAATGCACAAGACTAAGAAAAACATAAAGTATTTGCAACTGAGAAGCTAGAATCAGTAAATATTTGGCAGTTTTGGTTAAAAAGAAAGACTGAAATGATTCATCGGCCATCAAGATAGTTGCAGATTTATTTTCTGTACATCGACTAATCTGTTTATCAACCAATTATTTCAGCTCTAGTTTGATTCGCCTTAAATTTTGATTGACTTCTGTTAAAACACGTTGCATTACTGTACACCACCAGCACATAACAAAAACTGATCCTCCCAAAAGATGGAAAATACCACGAGCTGAAAATGGCACGTGTGTAGCAACAGAGATAGAGTCTATATGTCTGCTTCCTTTGCTGCTATCTGTCCCTGTAAATAACAAAGGTCCTGGTGTTACCCAGGGAGACTGTCTGGTACACATTAATCTGTAAGCTCTTTGTGTCTACATGTGCATGTCTGTCTTTATCTACTGTATGTGTCGTATCTTTGTGTCTCAAACATGTCTACTGTATGTTATGTCGTATTCGCCAAAGATTTTTACAGTTAGTTTTTTAATATTCACCCAATGTGGTACAAAAGCATAAAGCAGCAAGTTAATTGAAAATGCAGTGCAATGTTTGCAGCCATTAACATTTAACATAGACTCTGTTGTCTTACTGTCTCACCCAGACCCCGAGGACCTACTGTGCAGCCAACACAGAGGATCTGGAGACTGTTATTGAGCACATCCAAAGGACGAATGAAGCTGCTCCAATCATGGCTGCTGGAGTATCAATGGGCGGGTAATGAAGCCGCTCACTAACAGCTGACTGGATATTTCAGTACTGGCGGTGACGCTGCTAACAAATCTCAGACTTAAAGCCACAGCTGGTATAAAAAATAACCTTTTCTCATATGTGCTGAAAATGTAACTAAATCTTAATAGAAAATCTGCGGCAAATCATGTTCCTCTGACTTCTCCTGGCGCCTCTAATGGCATTTGCAAGAATGCACCGCACCTGAATGAAAACAACCAATCAGGAACGATGCCGGCCTGCTCCTGTAAAAGTTAAATTCAAAGCAAGCTTTTTGGCCTTGGTCTTCTTCTATTGTTGGAAGCAAAGAATGTGCATAAGAAGTGATTGACAGCTGCCTTACACATGCTGCGTTTTTTGTGTGCTCAAATTCATTGTTTTCAATGAGGACGTGTGGCAGGTGCACTCAAACGCTAGAGCGACACCGTTGAGGTGCACGTGTTCCCAAGCGCCTATTTTTCAGCAACTGCTGCGTGAGTTCAGCTTTTGGAACGCAGCAGTGCGCAGCGCATGTGTGAGGATCAACCAATCACAGCTTACAGATGTCTTTCCCTTCTTCTGTAAATATCAGTCTGTGGTAAATTTGGAAAAGTCGATCATTTTGGTGCAGGGCTGCCAAAGCTTTTCATCTGTCCCACAGACGATTAGTCTCTTACACAGACGCCGATGACGTCAGCACGCTGGCTGACTCTGTCGTCTGTGGACATTCCCATAGGAAAGTTGTAATAGATAATAGTGCTAATAATGCTGGCTCCCAGCAGCAGTGATGTGATTGGATCCAAATCCGTGTACTTCCTCGACCAACGGCTGATTAGCTTTGCCTTACACCCGCATACACCGGAATTGCTGTTCCCCAAATTGTTGTCCGTAGTACAACAGAAAAGGAAGTGTTCAGTGCATCGCAAGAAGAGATTAAAATGGATATGATTTCATTTGATTCAGCTATATTGCAGAGCTGCAACGTCTCTGTTACATGTAACACACGTGCCGTACCTATGGCAACGCCGTCACATGGTCTGGATATCCCCACCAATTTCAATTACAAAAAGAAAGACGAATGTCCCCAGACTCCCATTCCGAAGTAAGGGAGGCTGGTCACACACAATAGACCTACACGCAAATAGCACCTGGAAAAAGATCAGCTCTGCACTCAGGATTTCAGGTAGATAGGCTACGATGTGGTGCTTGTTAAGGTTGCTTTGCAAACTCAGACACAACCTGCCGCTGCGCTCTTAAAAGCTGGCTCAAAAAAGACACAAAAATAACACCTAGCGCCCGACCTCATGTTTTACAAGGCGGTTAAAGATGCAGCATGTGCACATCCTAAAAGACTCCTCCTGCCTCTGATTGGTTGTTTTCGTTCAGGCGTGGCGGACTCTTGCAAATGCCATTAGGATCACTACGAGGAGCCAGAGGAACATGATTCATTTTCACAGATTATCTGTCTCATGTACTACAGTCCAGATATAGCGACAGCAAATATGACAAAACTGTTATTTTTATATAAGTTACCTACTGAACCTTCGAAGCTTTACAAGACAACTACACACTTCAGTTGGTGACTCAGTGGCAACTTGCAACTAGAAGATGTGAACTGCAATGCCCAGAAATCCCCTGATTTAACATAATCCAGCATTAGGAAACTACTCAGAACTCACTCACATTCTCTAATTCAGCTTATTTGTGATTAGTTTATGCAAAATGTCACCTGAAGGACAAGATAGGCAGAAGATGTAATTCTAGTGGGTCTAACTTTCTCTCTGTGCAGCATACAGTTTGGGGTTTGCTATAAATATTCTACTGTCACAATTCGTATGGGTTTATAGAAGTGAAAATACCTGATATTAGAATTTCATTTCAATTTTTTTTCATTATTATTTTGGGTATTGGCCTCAGAAACCCAGTATTGTTTAGGCTATATTCAGTGCTTTATCATGGTCCCGGTGGTTCAGTGCAGCATGCCAAAGAAGGTGTTTTTATACTGCACTGCATTAATCCCATGAAGTGAAGGATTGGTCAGAAATGGAACATGTTCCAATCCCTGTTTTCCCCCCATCTGTCCCTTCCTCTCACCCTCCCTCCATGTTCAGGATGATGCTTGCCAACTACTTGGGTCGCAAGGGCCGGGAGACCTGTCTGAGGGGGGTCGTCGTCTTCTCAGCAGGCTGGGATGTGTTTGAGTGCACCGCTTCACTGGAAAAACCCCTGGACCGCTTCCTCTTCAACTCCTACCTCACCAGCTGCCTACAAGCCTCTGTGCACAGGTCAGCCGGGGCCACAGCGGGATTAACGCAGCCGCTAACTCACTGCTAGTGCTAGAGGCTGAACATCTCGGGAGCTCGAACTGGGTTTTACGTATTTATTTCTATGTGTTCATCAAAGGTTTGCTTTTTGCAGTTCCTGGCAAAAACACTTGACTGCTGGTGTATTTTTTTATTTGTTATCTGACGAACAAAGTATATTAGAAAATACCTTCGATATATTTCAATCTGTGTATGATGTCAATGCAAAGTAATGCTTTTGTAATACTACTTTGAAAGTTGAGCTCCATTGTTGTTTCATTATGTTGTTACAGCCTTGTCAGCGTTTTCGAGGGACATATTGAGATACAAATCATTTCACCTAACATTAGTCAGTGACACTTTTATTTTCAATCTCCCCCGCAGACACAGACCAGTGCTTGAAAAGTGTTACGACATCGATCATGTCATGAAGGTCGGGATTATTTTTAGCGAAACTTTGCCATAAATGCTATTATAGTTAAACAAAGTAGCCAAAATTGAATCCCTTAACTCGCTCCTTACAGGCAAAGACCATTCGTGAGTTTGACGAGAGGTTCACCTCCATAATGTTTGGTTATCCTACCAATGATGACTACTACCATGATGCCAGTCCTGTCCACAGGCTGAAATCTGTGCAGGTGCCAATGCTGTGTCTGAACGCCGCTGATGATGTCTTTTCCCCATCTCACGGTGAGTCCCAGCAACCTCAGCTTTTCTGTGCAATCTGACTTTACTGGCACTCCTAATATGGTGGCATCGAGAATCTAGCATGACTGCCCCCTCAAAGTCAGAGATTCAAATCAGAGGTTGGAGACCCCTCAGTCGACTGAGATTCTTCAAGTCGAGCAGTTGTGTGTTTTTTTTTTTTTTTTTTTGGTTGCGTCAGTGTGTGGTGTACATCTAGGGATGTTTTGGTCCCCACATTTAGCTGCAGAGTGAGCACTCTTCGCTTTCACGCTGCCCTCCAGTTCAGGCAGCTGCAGGCACAGACTCAGGGTGAGTCCAAGTGAGAAGGAGGCAGCTGCCAGGAGGAAGAGAGGCTTTGGCCCTGTTTAGACGACAACGGTTTCTCTAAAAAACGGAAAAGTCTGTCCTTTGCGTTTTAGAAAACATCCGTTTATATGACGACGTTATTGAAATTATCGCAAAATCGAGTAAAGTAAAGCTGCAGTTTCAGGACCAGTTATAGGACCGTTTAATTTTCAGTCGGAGGCTGCAACCTGAAGATTTTTTGTTGTTGTTTTTTGCTATACCCAAATACTACTTTCTTATTAAATAGTTATAATCAGTGTTGGGTAGTAACACGTAATTTGATTGATGAAGCCCAGGTAACTATACATTACCATTGCCGGTCCTCTCCACTCCTCTTACCCACACTTGAGCACCCGTTCTGGGATACACAGTGTGGGCTCACCCGGCCTGACCTCCGCAGTCCTCAGGCCGGGCGGGCCCACACTGTGTATCCCAGAACGGGTGCTCAAGTGTGGGTAAGAGGAGCGGAGAGGACCGCTATGAGGTGGAGTTGCCACAGTAGATCTACACTTTGTTGGAGAAGTGTTGATAAAATCAACAGTGTGAGCAGCACAAACAGAGCTTGGCATTGTTGTTGTGATGGTCGACTTTCTCGCACATGCCTAGTGACTGGAACCGTAATGAGCATGTGCGAAAAGTCTCCGTTTTCAGAGGAACTGCTTATTGCATGTTTACATGACAACGGAGACGCTGCCATTTCCATTTTCTGGAACCCCTTTTCAAAACGTTGCGTTTTCAGGCACCCAAAACGCCACTGTTCTGTAAACGATCGGCCAAAACGCAACTAAAGTTTACCCTTTTCAGGTGAATTGTTGTCGTATAAACGGGACCTTTGTCCAGTCAGGCTAGGCTACGAAACCGAATCTTCTACCAATTCACAGCTCACAGCAACTTCAATTCAGTCTTTGGCTTTTGTTTAATATCAAGTGTTGTTGCACATTTCCAATCCGTTGATAACATAGTTAGCATGCAGTACCTGTGAGGGTTAACTTGACTTTTTTACGTGAACTTCAGTGTCACCCTGAACATCCTGCTGAACCCTGTTCAAACTCTCAAGCTCAACATGGGAAAATAGGAATGAATAGTTGAATATTTGCAGTATTGAACAGCCAAAGCTGACTCCACTGGAGTTGGGTACCTTAGAATCTAATCCACGAAGAAGAAAACAGCACCTGAATCTTTTGCTTCTTTTACAGCCATTCCAGTGGAGGCAGTGAAGCAGAACCCCAACCTGGCCCTGCTCATTACCTGCCACGGCGGCCATATTGGTTTCCTCGAAGGCCTATGGCCTCGACAGAGCACTTACATGGACCGAGTCTTCAAGCAGTTTGCTAAGGCGGTCATCGAAAAAGGCAGCGGACTCCAAGACCTCTCGTGATAAGAGAACTTAACAAAGTGTTCCTCTACTTTTACTTCCTCTCTCTCGTATGCCTTTCTTCTTTCTTTCCTTCCTTCCTTTAATGTTTTCTTTCATTTTTGCCATCCATCTTTACTTACTGCATTCCATGTTTTTTTCCTTTCATTTTTATTCAATACATCCTCGTTTTTCTTTCTTCACCCATTTCATTGACCTTTTACCGTCTGTCACATTTGCCCTTCGTTCCTCCTTTCTGCATTCCATCCATCCTCTATTCCTTCCCTCTCTACCTAATCCCGTTCTACCTATTTCCTTCCTTCCATTGACTTTATTTTATCTTTGCCCTTCGTCCTTCCGTCCCATTCTTCCTCCCGCCGCAAGCAAAAAACAAAAAATGTTCTTTCTCATTTGAAGGGCACATCTTAATGAATGCAGCGTTTGTGTTGCGTTCAACGTTCATTTATTTATTCCATGCAGTTAACAGGTCATTGTATGTAATCATGCTCTCAGTGGTATGCTTATTGGAGAAAAAAAAAACGAGCATAGCTGTTCATGTCACTGTTGAAAAGCTGAATCTGTGCCCATCTTGTTTAGTTGCATTAGCTAGCTAAAGAATTCTGCAGTTACCTTGTGCAATAATGTTCTTTTGAAGTTAACACAAGTACTGTACATGAAACTCCAATCATCTCTGTTCATGAACCTGTAGTACTTATAACAGTAGGATTTTAGCCCTCAGGGATTTTCTTTATTTACTCATAACTTCCTGTGTAAATTTGCTTTGTCAATCAGTCTCATTTAGTTTGTGTTTTCCTTGTTTAAAGGTAGATGTTATTGACATACAGTTGTTTTTTTTTCTTTAAAGTAATAGTTTTATATTTTGGGAAAAACGCACATCTGCTTTCTTGCGGAAAGTTAGATAAGAAGGTTGATACCACTTTCATGGCAGCTTAGCTTAGCATAAAGACTAGAACCAGGGGACACAGCTAGCTTGGCTCTGTCTAAAGGCAATCTGGCAATCCATGCGCTCATCATGATTTAGCCTCTGGGGGAAACAGCCAATATTTCCGGGGTGTAGCCAGTGGATATCTGGAAAATATATCTGCTAATATAGTTGGATCAGTACCAAGACTTTGTCCTCCGTGCGCCGGCCATTGTTTACTGTCCAATTACCAATGGAGAATGGAGTTAGAGTTGAGCAATGATAATTTATTTTATTTATTTATTATTTTAATATTAAGGACATGAAAACAACAATTTTTAAAAGAACTGATAAAAACACTTATACTTGGTGTATAAAAACAGAGGAAATAAAAGACAGTTTAAATGAAAATAAAATTCGAGTAAAATCAGAAAAGGCCCTCCGATAAAAGTCTGTTTTAAGAAGGGACTTAAAACAGATCACTGACTCGGACAGACTGTTCAAGAGCCTCGGGGCCCTGACAGCAAACGCCTCAAAGTACGTCCTGGCATGTACGGCACTAAGAGATCGGAGATATATCTGGGAGAGAGACCATGAAGAGCCTTAAAAGTAATCAGTAAAATTTTAAAATCTATTCTAAAACATACCAGTCAGTCAGTGTGAAGAGGCTAAAACTGGAGTGATGTGATCACGTCTCTTGACTCTGGTTTAAAGCCTGGCAGCTGAATCCTGTACAGTCTGGAGTCGAGTAATAGATTTTTAAATCAGGCAAGAAAAGAGGCCGTTGCAGTGATCGAGGTGTGAAGAGATGAAGGCATGTAAAATTGTCTCTGTGCCTTTTGACTTTAAAAGTTAAAATGGATGATCTCTATAAACAGATATGTGAATATGAATGCAGATAGATTTTTTAAAAAGGTAAATCCCTGTCAGACAGTGGCCGATGAGTTTCGATAGATGGATGGATGCACTTTGGCCAGTGCATTCCACCTCCTGCCCACCTTTTGTTCTTCATGTGCTCTGTTTACCTACATGCAACCAAAAGCCTCTTAACACGCGATTGTTTGATACTACTCTTGACTATGAACAGAAACCCGAACACTTGCCTTCAGATTCTGCATTCTGGTGCAGTGGTTAGCGTTGTCACCTCACAGCAAGAGAGTTCCGGGTTCGAACTTCTGTGCAGAGTTTGCATGTTCTCCCCGAGTCAGCGTAGGTTTTCTTCGGGTTCTCAGTCAGTTGTTGACTATAAGCGTGAGTGGTTGTCTGTCTCTGTGTGTCAGCCCTGTGATAGTCTGGTGACCTGTCCAGGGTGAACCCTGCCTCTCCCCAACGTCAGCTGGGATAGGCTCCAGCCCCCCCGCGACCCTTAACAGGATAAGCGGTTATGGAAAGTGAATGAATGAGAAAATCCACCTACAAACAGATTTTTTTTTAACCCCAGAGCTGAGCTGTTTCCCTCTGCCTCCAGTCTTTATATGCTAAGATAGAGTCTCATATTTATTGTACAGACGTGAGAGCGGTGTCAATCTTCTCAACCAGCTCTCTGCAACGCAAATGAGCATATTCCCCAAAATGTCAATCTTCTCCTTCCATTAACCTTCTGCATGCACTTTTATGTTCACACATTCTACCTTTACGCACACCAAATAGTTCTACAAATGTATTATACGGAGAATAATTCATTAATGACAAGGAATGTGAAATTGCACTATTTTAGTTGATACTACCATGCCTCTAATTCCTTAATGCCAGGCACTTCGTTTCATTCGATATATGAAAGTATATCCCAAAGGCCAGACAGAGCAGTATATGAATTCCATGAGGTTTTCTTTGTGAAAATGTCGGTGGTTAGTTCTGTAAGTAAGTGCGAGGGTGCTAGATACAGTAATGTGAATGAAGTAATGCACACAGGACGACGGAGAGTGTACATATTTGGCTGTTTGAAGTGCTGGATGTTGCTTTATGCAAAGTATTGGTAAGAAACCTGGTTGTCAGTCGCTTCTGGTTCTGTTTCGCCAACAATGATCGAGGGGCTGGCTACCGTGTATGAGTTGGCGTCGATGAAACGATCAGATCCGGCGTGGCAGCCAGGCTTTCAGTAATGCACCGCACGAGGGATTTTTGACTTCCTGTTCCTGTGGAATTTTGGTGTCTTTTTGTTCTGCCAAGTTGTCCATTGAGTAGCATGTGTCTCATCAGTGTCATCATGTCCTGCACCTTAACACCACTTCTGTAGCACAAAGGACATGTTTGGTTGTTTTTCATATAGATGCTGCATTTCATTTTGTACACTACATTAAAAGAAGAAGAAAAAATGTGTGCAGCAATAAGATTTTAAATTAAAAAATGGTCTCTGTAGTATAATTACCAGTATATGCACATTATCACCATGAGTGTAATATGCTGTATTTAATAAATTATTAAACAGTCTCGGTCCATTCGTCTGCTGCGTCTCCTCATTCTGCTTCTCATGCGTTTTCTCAGCAGTTTATTGGACTGCTCCACTGACCGTGAGCTGCAGGTTAGAATAACTCACTGGGTTTGTCTTTTGTCAGCACTTTCTTTCTTTCTTTGTCTTTCTTGCTTTCTTTCTTTTTGTCTCTCTTTTTCTTTCTATCTTTCTTCCTTTCTGTCTTTTTTCACTGTCTTCAGTTCTTTGTCTTTTTTCTGTCTATTTGTCTTTCTTTTTTCTATCTTTATTTCTTTCTTGTCCTTCCTATATTTCTTTCTTTCTTTTTTCTGTCTTTTTTGTCCTTTGTTTCTTGATGTCTTTCTTTCTTTTTTCTGTGTCTGTTTGTCTTTCATTCTGTTTTCATCTTTCTTTCTGACTTTCTTTCTTTCTTGCTGTGTCGTTCTTTTTTCTGTCTTTATTTCTTTCTATCAGTCTTTCTTTAATTCTGTCTTTTTTGTCCTTTGTTTATTTCTTTCTTTCTGACTGTCTTTCTGTCTTTCTTGCTTTCTTTCTTTTTGTCTCTTTCTTTCTATCTTTCTTCCTTTCTGTCTTTTTTCACTGTCTTCAGTTCTTTGTCGTTTTTCTTTCTTTCTATTTGTCTTTCTTTTTTCTATCTTTATTTCTTTCTTGTCCTTCCTATATTTCTTTCTTTCTTTTTTCTGTATTTCTGTCTTTTTTGTCCTTCATTTCTTTCTGTCTTTCTTTCTTTTTTCTGTGTGTCTGTCTTTCATTCTGTTTTCATCTTTCTTTCTGTCTTTCTGTCTTTCTTTCATTCTGTCTTTTTTGTCCTTCGTTTCTTTCTGTCTTTCTTTCTTTTTTCTGTGTGTCTGTCTTTCATTCTGTTTTCATCTTTCTTTCTGACTGTCTTTCTGTCTTTCTTTCATTCTGTCTTTTTTGTCCTTTCTTTCTGTCTTTCTTTATTTCTTTCTGTCTTTTTTGTCCTTCATTTCTTTTTGTCTTTCTTTTTTCTGTGTGTCTGTCTTTCATTCTGTTTTCATCTTTCTTTCTGACCGTCTTTCTTATTTCTGTCTTTATTTCTTTCTATCAGTCTTTCATTCTGACTTTTTCATCTTTCTTTCTGACTTTCTTTCTGTCTTTCTTGTCCTTTCTTTCTGTCTTTCTTTATTTCTTTCTGTCTTTTTTGTCCTTCATTTTTTTCTTTGTCTTTTTTCTGTCTCTTTATTTCTCTCTGTCTTACTGTCCTTCCTATATTTCTTTCTTTCATTCTCTTTTTTCTGTCTCTCTGTCTCTCTTTTTCTTTCTGTCTGTCTTTTTTTGTCCTTTGTTTCTTTCTTTTTTCTGTCTTTCTTCCTTTCCTTTTTTCTTTCTTTCTGTCTGTCTGTCTGTCTTTATTTCTTTCTCTCTTACTGTCCTTCGTATATTTCTTTCATTCTTTTTTCTGTCTTTCTTTGTCTTCCTTTCCTTTTTCTTTCTTCTTTTTGTCTTTTTTTGCCCTTTGTTTTTTCTCTTTCTTTTTTCTTTCTGTCTTTTTTCATCCTTCCAACCTTCCTTTCTTTCTTACTTTTTTCTTCCTTCATTTGTTTTTGTCTTACTTTCTTTCTCTGTGTCTTTCTTGCTCTTTTTCTTCTGTCTATCCCTCAGTTTTTTTCCTCAGTTTTTCTTTCTAGCTGTCTTTTACTTTTCTATCTTTGGCTAAACACTGATAATATCCGGACTGCTCGGTCAGACTCTCATCAGTCCCGTGAGGTGTCACCCAGGCCTGCACCTCCCCTCTGTCACAGACTCATCCCCTGAAGCCAAGTCATTTGACAGTCTACCACTTGAGCTGGCTTACAGCATGACCAGCGTGTCACTGCGGGGTCACACTCCCTCCTTCTCCTTCTCACATCACAGTATAGAGTTTGTGCTCCCTGGAATTGACTCACTCCGCACTCACGGGCTTAGCTGCTGATAGGATATGCATAGCTGCAGTCGTGGATGTGATCCACCAAAGGCAAACTGTAATCCCCCGCCACTCCACTTACCTTCACCCCAACCCCCCAGTAAGCCCACAGACAGATGAGCTTTGGTTTTAGTGAGATGGTTTATGGAAGCCTGAGAGTAATTAGAGTAGACTGCCAAGAGGGATGAGTGATTCACTGTTTGTTACCATCTACGAAAATTGATATTATGTGGCAGCAATCCCTCTATTATAAATGTTGATATCTGCTCATGTGAGAATGTACGCTGCATAATTATATAGTTATAGATCAGTGAACAGTGTCATAAATGGTGCAGTGATACTTTTAATCATGTCAGTGTTTGAAAGTAGTTTAGTCATAATTACTGCGATGCCCGAGGACTCCATAACTGAAAGAAATATGTCAGAATTATCAGGAGACATTTTCTTTTTTTCCGTCAAAGGATTTGTTGTAATCTCAGCTACAAGAACAAATCTGAAAATGAAATTGATCTGTGACTCTGGCTGAGAGAGGCCAGAGAAAGCCAGTCTTTGCATATTTGATAGTTGTAGTCATAAAACAGTCAATTACCCTTTGGCCTCTTTTAAAGCATGGGAATTCTCCAGCTTGTCACAAATGAATCACTCTGGGACACCTTCGATCTCTTGGGCTTCGCGCACAACATCTTTCTGCTTTTCTCCACAGAGCAATTATGAGGTGCAAGAATCAGCACGCCAGCGACTCTTTTCCTGCCCTCTCTTCCTTATCCTGTCCTGACTGCAGCTGGCTGAAAATAGCCCTGTGTTATATCACACAGGGGTTGTAGGTTGATGGAAAGTGTGCTCTAATATTACTGTGCAGGAGCTGAAATAGTACTGTCCCTGGACCAACAATGCCCCTGTGCCCTTACAGTGAAGCCAGAGAAGATCCTATAGCATCCATTAAGAAGCCATTCCTGCTCTTGATAATGAGAGGGTCGTTGTGCAAAGTCACAGCGTCGCTAAAGGCGCTGAGGTGAGAAGGATATCGGAAAAGGAGGTGACTGGGAATAAGCGAGGTCCTGATGTTTACTTTAAACAGTATAAAAAGATCTGGGATGAATGGATGCTGAAGAGGGTGAGAGGATTATTAATCACAGGCTGGAGACAGGGCTGCACGTGTGTGTAACCAACACTGCTTGAGATTTGTATTAATGCACTTGCAACACACAGATTAAAGGGGCACCCCACCAGGGTTATCTTGGTTTGGAAAGTTTATCTACTGGGCGACTGGGAGGTAGCGAGGAGTTGCAACAAAAAAAGCAATCAAGTTTCGATGTGGGAAATGTGTCCAGCCATTTTAAGTTATAGGCCTACTAGGGACTAAAAGTCAGGGTATCTGTGTCTGCTGCTTCAATTGACCCTTTGCTAAATCCCGCCCCCATATGCAGACTGGCCATCCATAACGTGGCTAAATGTTGTGCCTGGGGCAAGACGTGTATTAATGACACTTGTCAAAGAGGATTTATAGTTGTGCACAGACCCTACACACGTAGCCTACGCCGTTGTGAGCATTTTTACTTGTGCAGTAGTGAGTCTGTGTCACTCTGCAGTTACACCTCCAAAACACTAGTTGGCGGCGGAGGTTTCTGTGAAGTGCTGTAAAGTTTAGTTGATTCAATACACACATTAAACACACAGTAAACATGGCTTAATAGAGACAATTTCAAACACAAGTACACAAATCAGCTTCACTATAACTCGCAGCATTCACAGACAAATACTTTCCAGTCTTTATCTGGACACATTTTCTAAACAAATACAACATGCTAACGTTATTAGCGCCAGCCTATGGCATTTTACATTGTATAAATTAGCCTAGCGATGAGCAGAGATTTCCTCTGCTCATATGAAGCCAGGATAAATAACACACAAGACTTAAAATGCTATTTTTGTGGAGACTTTAATGTCTCCACAATTTATTGTTTCTTATCTGTGAAATTGAAGTAAGTAAAAGCTTTGAGGGAAATGGTTTCAGCTTACAGAAACATACAGGTCTGCGTCGCCGTGATGCGTAGTTACATTTGGAGGTGCACATCAGGCTACAGCCATAGCTACGGCATCGTTGCAACACAGAAGTATAAATTCCCTATTATTCTGACAGCTTGTTGGACCATCACAGAGGGGTGGGGCTTAGTGAAGGGTCAGTTGCAACCATTTTTTTACAAAGCAACTGTACAGAGTATTCAGAGCACTGATTCAGAGTCTGATTCAAGCTGTCTGCACACGCTTCCCAACATGGAGGTGGCCATGCTACCTCTTTAACCACCAAACAGCCATGTTAGATGTTTTGGGATGAAGTGGGACATACCATACTCTTGTTTGAATTGAACTTAACTAAAACTTTCCTGGGAAAATGCAACCATAAAAGACATTATGGCAAAGGTTGCTTGTTTTAAACAAACAAAAAAAAAGGTATAACAACAAATTTATCGTTAAGGAAATGAGAAAGCATCATTAAGGGATTTCCAGGAAAAGTTATGAATGTTTCAGGAGATGTATTCAATAAAAAATGGGCTAATCGTTAAGAATTAAAGATAATAATCTTGACTTGTTTGGCTTTTTTTTTTAATTTTTAAATTTTAAGTAGCTTTAAAGCTGTCAAAATCATCTTACTCCACTCTGTTTGGCAGAATCTTGCACAAGATAAATATTTGTATTTCCCCACAAGGACAATAAAGTATATCGTATGGTATCATACTGTATCCTATAAAAAGCAAAATATTTAACCCTACAAGATGTGCTTTTCTTTGGCTGCAGCTTTACATAAAATGGATCCTGAATGTCTTATTGATACACATTTACCCTCATTTTTTAATAATCTTTGGCAGCACAGTTTAGATTTGAATACATTCAGAGTGAATAACTAAAAATTAGATTATATATTTCTGTCAGAGTACCCTATGACAACTACTTAGTCCTATTTGTTGCACTGTATTTGTGCTACTGTCACAGGCATATAAATATTCAAGCCTGAAAGTAAAAGACAAAGATTGAAAAATGATTTTAGAAGTCATTTTATTACATTCATAAATTTCCAACAACAACAGCATGGCTCTAATGTCATATGTTCACAGCCCGCAACCACAATGGTAAACATGAGGTAGATCACCCAGACACCAAGGCTACCACTGGGCTGGTTATCGTTTAACACATTTCAGTGAAGATTGTGAGAGCAAGTTGCATATTAAGTGTTCAATTATTAAAAAGAAAGACACATTCTACAGACAGTTGGAGTTTAAGTTAAAGTTTTGATCACCAGTCTTATATTTGGACTACATTTGGGGTTAATTTAACAGTGGGAAATATATATATTTTTTCTGCTGGCAACTTGTATAGTGCAAGTTCACATTTCCTTCCCCCAGTGACATTCAGTAGATCTAAGAATCATTCGTTTGGGTCTTGTGCAAAGCCTTCATGGATGGTTTTGAAGAGGACACACTCCCTCGGTTTAAGCGAGCTTAGCATGCAATAAAATATTACACTTCAATATGATTATCAGTCCAAAAGGCTTGTCAAATAAATAAGAATCCCTCGTGGACCTGATTTTCATTTTCAATAAAAATCCAACACAAGAACAGGAAGGGATACAGACATATGGTTAAGGACACATCTAGGTAGATTCTTCTTGCCTTTGCAACATAACATAAAATGCAGAGAGACATTCATGACCAAAATATGCTGGCAAAAGTTACACAAGACTAAAAAAAAAACATCAGTAACCCTCAGTGGTTAAGGGGATGATACAATATATTAATAATGTAAACAAAGCTTTAAACAGTACAGTAGTCCGAAATCCAATTATTTCACTTTGCTTCATTCAGGCAAACATTCCTTCGCCTCACAGTTAAATGGTTTCTTCATTCTCATTGGTCCGAAAAAATTAGTGACTTGAGCAGTGACTGTGTGAAACGTCACTTAAGGCATATTCTTTGGACAACCCTGTGCAGAAACATATAAAAACATTCCACTTTCAAGTATATGTAATGATCTGGTCAGCTGCTTTGGACAGTGTGTAACCCTTTCATTGATGACCATTTGCTTGGGAGACAAAAGATGGCAGATTGTGAGTTTAACATGTGGATGGTAGCCAAGACATCAATGTACAATCGCCCTAGGAACATTGTAACAGGAGCTGAAATCTCAGGCACAGTCAGTAGCAGAATATTTGGCAGTGAAGATGCTTTCTAAATATATATTGCATTTACTGACGTAATGTGATTATGGTTAAAATACACAGTATTTAAGTCAGTAAATGCCTAAATACAAAAGTCGTTGCTCCGTCTGATTGGTGTTGCATATTAACAGATGAGTTGTAAAAGTAAAACCCTGTGGAAAGTCAGATGTGTGTTTTGGACAACAGACCTGCTTCATAGTTATATATTCAAGCCATGACGAAACATTAACAGCCTACATTCTTGAGAGGACACAACTTGTACTTTTCTTTAGTTGCGAATCTTTGGATAAATGAATGTGTAAGTCACTAAGAGACTAACACCACATTCGTACAGCTCCCCGTCAGAAGGATTATGGATGCCACATAAATAATTTCAGAGGCACAAGAGAAAAGGATTTGCAGTGTAAATGACTGATGATAGAAATCTAATACAGGCCAAACTCAGTGTTAAAGGTATACAATGCAGGAATTGCAACCTACAGTGCTCTAACATACACTGCAAGCTGCTGCACTATTGTAGGAATGTTACATATGTTGTAATGGAAAAGCTAATACTTTAGCAAGCTAAGCTAAGTAAGCTAACTGCCTGCACTAACCTGCCCAACAAAAACAGGCCAGCTCTGCGTCGCCCTTCATCCCTAGTCTCCTCTTCAGTGCTGCAGATTCACTCTTGATTTGGAATGAGCTTTGTCCGCTTGGTGTTTCACCTCACTATATTTGCTTTATTTCGTGCGTCCACAATTTTCCGATCTTTTTTTTAATCTTACCTGTGCACTGTGTTAGCTGGGGACCACATGCCCATAAATGTCTCGACCAGAGCAAAATAAAAACACAACAGAGGCAGATCAATACATTGCCACACATTTCTAGTGGTTCATAAGTAATGATTGAGAGGGATTGTACGAGTCTACACATTTTTAAGAATAATCCTGCATAGTATACCTTTAAAATTTCCTTAAAGGGACAGTTCGACCCCAAATAGAAAATACTTTTCCTCTGTCTTTGTAGTGCTATTTATCAGTCTAGATTTTTTTGATGCAAGTTGCCAAGTGTTGGAGAAATCGGCCGTAGAGATGTCTGCCTTCTCTTAAATATAATGGAACAAGATGACACTCGGCTTGTGGTACATGTGGTACAAAAAAGTACATTTTAAAACCTTTCTATGGAACTGCATCCGTATCACCACACCGAAGTAAGCATGCATCTACTGCTGTTTCATTTCTTTAGTGCTTTGAGTACCACAAGCCAAGTGCCATCTTGTTCCAATATATTGGCAAGAAGGCAGGTGTCTCAACGGCTGATATCTCCGACACTCGGCAACTCACAATCAACACTGATGAATATCTCTACAGATATGAGTAAATATATGTATTTTTGATTTGAGGGTGAACTCTACCTTTAATTTAGTGAGCTAACATTTTATAATCAGTGAGCTTGTGGAGTTCGAGAGGCAGAGCGGGTGAGGAGGAAAAGGCGAGCGGCAGCTGAGGATATCTTTGGTGCACAACACAAGTCAATGCAAAAAGTACACGGTGAACTTGGAGAAGAGATTTACCCCTTTAAGCGACGTCCCTTGGATCTCCCTTTAAAACCCTGAGATAAACAAGCATGTCCAGCATGGGACACACTGTGGTCAATGTCCACGTACACATACAATCTTCAAATAGTCACATCATTGATCAGAGACCGTCCGTTTTTGCAAACAAAACAAAGTTCAGTTTCAGCTGTGCTTTTTCTTTTCCCACAGCAAAGTCTTTTTCAGTAGAACGCAAGCCCAGCGACAAGCAAGAGTTAAAACACACACTGACCCTCCTCAGAGCCAGAGCCAGGCATAGTGCACTGTGGCAGTACAGATGAAAGGAAAAGCCATATGAGGGTCCTTGTGTCCACTTGCGGGGCACTTTGGATCGTGTGCTCCAGCATATCCCCTCTGACCTTCCACTGGAATGGCAAGAATTGTGATTGCTGGCTGGTTTGGAATCAAATGTATCCTCATTTCTGATTGTGCCTCTGCGGCAGAGCAGTGGGTCCAGCGTGTTTCAAGCTCAAACATGGCGGCCGGTCAGAAAGTAGAGGGGCCGGTCCTCACTGCAGTTGGCTGTCTGAAACTCATCCCGCAGGCGGAACTGCCACTCGTCCTCCAGCTCCAGTCGGACGATGGTTTGACGCAGGGAACTTCTGTCCTGGCAGATCACGCAGAGAGTGGCGCCTATGGACACAGTAACGGTAAAAAATAAATCAGAACCGGAGTCTAAAAGCCCTGCTCATAACCTTTAAGAGGCTGTGCTGCTTATTAAATCAGGCTAATGATTTTTTTTTCTAATTGAATGATCTATCTGGTAATATGCATTAAGTGCCCACCATTAATTGTTCCGTGCTTATTGGTTTGACGTGCACAGAAAAACACGGGAACACACAGACAAGCATGCCCCGGTGGCAACATACAATAGTGTCACATACTGTGTTTACCACTGTGGTAAGCAGATGTTATAAGAAGTGTGACAACAGCAACAGAAGCAGCAATAACTGCACTGATGATTCACCTTTGAGGAAACGGAATTTCTTGAGGAGCCCAGAGACGACAAAGGAGTCACAGAGGTAAAGCAGCAGACCGCTGAACAGCAGGCCCTGATGGTTCAGGTTGGTGGAGTGTGGACGAGAGTTGATGTAGCACACGGAAATCTGTGACAGAAGACATGAAAAGATAGACTAAGCAAACTGAAGGAAACATAAAATTGATGAAATTATCCTCATGAAACCTCCATAATCCCTGTCAGCTTTACGAGCAAAATAAGCAACATCATCATGATTTATTTCCATTACAGGAAAAAACAAAAGAAATGTGTCTAGGCATGCTAAATAATGAAGTTGTGCAGAGTGCGTCACCTCAAATGCACAAATATACAGTACAATATGCACTGTTAGCATTCAGTGTTTGCACACGTGCATGGATCCAGGTCACAATGTTCTCAGCAAAACAGATGGTGAAATTGTGCAACATGTTTCTCTGTGGATTCGGAAAATTCTACAAACTTTAAGCTTACAAAACATTTGAAATGAACTCAGTCAGCAGCTTATTTTTGTCACAGTTAGAGGTTTCCCTGAAACTACACTACAGTGTGTGCAAAGGTTTTCACAACAGTTAAGCCATGAAGACTTTAGTTGAAGGAATGATGTTAATAGTCTGCTCTGCTGCTTTCACATGCAACCTCCTGGGAGCTCGCACCTCCGGGCTGATGTTGAGGTAGCTATCGATGGACAGAACTGGGTTTTTTCTGTTCTGAATGGCCAGCGGGAACAGTCTGTGGCTGCAGCTTTGCAGGAACTTTTCAAGCAAGAACTGGGCCGGGGCGTCCAGGAGGGTCTGCTCGCTGTCTGGGGCGCAGACATACTGTGACGGGCTGATTGGGGCGGGGTTTTCTATTTCCTGGGGAGAGAAGAGGGCAGCTTAGTGTTAGATGGTGTTTCTAATGAATTCACTAGAAACCCACTTACAGGAGTCCATAGTTCATGTTAAAATGTCTGACAACAGCCTGGCACAAAAACAGTCTTAGCTAATTTCAACATTCATGACAGCTGGAGGCGGATGAATTTTTAAGTAACTCACCTCTTAAGATCCTAATAAGACTTTAAGCTGCATGCATAATTAAGAGCGAGGCTGCTTTGAGTGACAGTTGCTACCCTGTGGCATGACCCCAGATTTTCAGAGTATATATAATCATAACATTCTGGTCACCTAAATAGTCTTGCCAGTGTTTGGTTGTACTAAAAGACCCTCTAAGGGCTCATTTATGCTCGTCATGGATGGAGCCTTCTGTCCCTACTCTGTGTTCATTTAGTCCATAATTGTGCATGTTTTCTGAATGCTTATTGATGAGGACAAAATGGAGCAGTACCACCAAGGATTGTGGGGGCAGTGTAGTGTAGTTCAAGAAAGATTCAGGAGGAGAAGAAGACATTCAAAACTGGCGTAACGGAACAAATTAATAATACTGTGAAAAGAATTCTCCGTCCACATGTTGCAGTGTTTTTAAAGGCATCAATGCTGCCTTCTTAAAAGGGTACATTACTTTGACTATTTAAAACAGTTTATAGTACACACACGACACCCACCATGAGTTTAGGTTTGACCAGGAAGTCTTTGTTTCCCCCGACTGGAATGTGCTTCTTCATGAGGCTGAAGTAATTGAAGCGACACAGCAGCAGCCCACTGCTGTTCACCCTTAGATTAAAGTCCACCTCCTCACAGCTGTACCTGCACACAGCACCAAAACAGCAACACCAGGAGATTAAGACGCTGCACAAGCCACCAAATGTGTAACTTAACTGACAATCCTCTACTAACTTACCGATTGAGGTCATATTGAACATTCTGCGTCAGGTCCACATTGAGCATGGCAAAGTCGTGGAGGTGACACCGGCTGAAGGGGTGGCTGGGAGACTTGCGAGCCAGGCTGCTGCTCCACCTGCGTGTGCCGCACATTGCATACAGGCAGATCTTTGGAGTGGTTTCCATATGCTGCAGCACTGTCTTCAGAGACACGTTAGTTCCCTCTGATGTCTCACTAGAGAGAGAAAAAGGACAGGACACACATGACACACATCACATACACACATCAACAAAGGTCTTTAAATATTATAATATACATATTTTTAGCCGTGGTAACGGGGTAACAAAAGCTAAGAGGTTGCTTAACATGAAAAATAATCACTGAGAATAAATTTTACTCGCAAAACTCAGCAACTCCTCTCAGTGACAACTTTGCAAATCAAAAACAGTTACTACCTGCTGTCTGCTGTCTGGTGGGTGTTCCAAAGCACGCAGGAGTCGTCCATCATAACAATGAAAGGCCATACATCTTGCCTCTTGACACCTTGCTCCTCCAGTCGGTTTCTCTCCAGCTCCAGGTTATGATATGACAGCTCTTTGATCATAAAGCGGGCCGCACCTGGCAAAGACGGGAGCACAGGTGTCAGTTTTTCCATTTATACTTTCTCAAAACACCTACAGTTCCTTTCAAATAAACCACAGCGCTGCAGGAGGTAATAAGCAGTGCAAGTGGAATGTAAAAGCTGAGCAATACATTTGTATGTGTAGCCTATGCATTGCAAATTTAAAAGTGAACTCTAACAGTTCAGAAACTGCATGTTCAATACACAGCACTGAGTGTGTTGGGTCTAAACTGAACAGGAATGTTGGCAGGCAGCCACACTGACTGTCAGGTTCATGGTAAGACAAAGTAGGTGAAAGGGTGATCATCTGTTTTGGTGCAATTTAGTTTAGTTACACCCATTTGACACAAATTATGCACCTTATCAGCTTCCTTACAAATCAGACTTTAGCGCTGCAAATGGCTAAGACAGCATTTAACCTGTTAACTATTGTAAACAAAGATGACTGACTGTGATAAATATATGACCAGGGTCGCTCATGTACTGACTTAAAGGTACCACTAGTAGCGCTATGGAGCAATGTTTTTATGAGTGGGCTTGTGTCGTTTTGCCTTTCATAGATAGCATTAGCTGAGGGTAAACAGAAAAGTAGGGGGAGACTGAAAAACTGGACAAGTTACAGCAAAGAGCCGCGGGTCAGAATCAAACCTAGGTCGCTGCTAAGAACTCAGGCACATGCTTTAATAAGTGAGCTACAGGTTTGCCTTGAAATATCACATTTTTACGCAGAAATCTAGGTTTAATTAAGCCAGCAAGCTGCTCACCAACTCCTGCGTTGTTGAACATAGCCGGCAGGACGAGCAGGATGTGGTTGGGCCAGTATTTTCTGTAGTGCGGCATTTCGAATTGCTTGACGACCAGAATGTGCAGATGACTGGCGCCCTCCATGGCGTGGAAAATGTTGAGCAGGCCGTGCTCTTGTCGTCCTGTGGTCGGGGTGAAGATTGGACTCTTTAATAGATCAGGGTCCTGGAGGCAGACGCAGAGTAAAACAAAACAGTAAAGTTGTGACCCAAAAAAATATTTATCACATTGGTTTATGGCTCAGTTTTGACTTTGGCAGGGAGAGATGATCCCCCCCACCCTCTCTAGACGCACATATACCTACACAACCATAAATACTCCCACATGTATACAGTAAACTAACCTTGGTGGAGACCAGAGGCAGGCACATGCTCTCTAAGTGGCTGCCCTGCTGACTGAAGACAAAGTGCTGCTCCTTGGCTTTGGGAATGATGAACTGGAGCTGGACCTCCTCCCCCAACATGGACGAGCAGAAGGTGAAAGCATGGAAGGTGCACTCCGATAGCTACAATACACACACACACACACACGCATTATTCACACAGAGGTCGCCATTACGTGTGACTACATCAGGTATAAACGCCCTCAAGCTTTCAACTGTCAAAGTATTTTGACAGGATATCTTTGCATCTCAAAGTCAGCAATGTTTGAAGTTAATCAAGCGCAAACACGGCAGCAGATGAGTGACTCAGATGTTTGATGTAAGCCCGTGCACACTCACCTGTGAGGCAGGGCCCGCTTCACAGTAGTGGTGACACTGTTCACAGTGATGAAAGGCATTGTGGGCGGCAAACCTGCTCAGACGTATGGACTTGGTCTCTCGTTTTGCTGGTGTTTGGCTCTCGCCTTCTTGCTTACAATCTGCAAAAACCAAACACGTTCCAGCTTGTTTAAGTATATTAAAGTAGCATCTGTGCTGTGTTTACAGCGGCAGATTGAAATACAGTGTGTTTGCATATTTCTGTTGACCTGTTAAGGACTTTGGCATCTTGTCATTGTAAACAGGGCTGGCATTCCTGAACTTAGGGTGCCGGGGGATGGGGTCAAAGGGCAGCTTTCGAATCTCCTCAATGTCAGGCAACTGGGAATTTACAGGAGTTGTAACCTCTGATGTTTCTGAAGATTAAAGCATGAGAACAAAAACCAAATCATCAGACATTTAGTTTGTCATAACATCTACAGTGTGTTTAAAACATATGAGGTCAGAATAAATGATTCAGTTAAATCCTAGTGATCCTCACCTTCTTCTTCCTCCTCTTCCTCATCATACACATCTACCTCCAACAGTCTGATGAGCATTCGGAACAGGACACGGAGAAACTGCAGATAGGCCCCAGTTTTTCCCACCTAGTAAAGGAGAAATGTTGCAGTGACACTTAAATCCAGATGCTTATAGTATTTATATGCACTTACAGGGGGAGTTTCACTTGTGTTGTGTTACCTGTGGGGGTCCACTGAGTAGCAGGCGCCGTGGATGTGGCACAGACGGAGCTTCATAATCTGCATGATGCTGCCTGGCTATGGTCCACTGGCGGTAGTACATGCTCTGCTCTGCCCCCTGCAGGTTGACACTGACAGGGGGCCTCAGCGGGCTGCTCCAGGCCACATCTGCATGAGGCAGGAGGGAGAAAGAGCTCAGCTGACTCCCCGACTCCCCCGCCAGCAGGTTGTATGCAGCCCGCGACATGATGACTGTCCGTGGGGACACCCGAGTGGGCTTAGTGTCTCGACCACACTGCGTGGACTGGGTGGGCCTCTGGGTGGAGGAGGACGACGGGGAGGGCGAGGAAGAGGAAGAACTGGAGTAAAGAGAGGGAGGGGCCTTGGAGGCTTTGGAGGGGTTGGAGGGGAGCTGGCTTCCGATGGAATCGCACTCTTGCTTAAACCTTTGTGTTACTGTGCCTATGTCCGAGGTAACGACACCTTCAGGTGGGCAGGTGGATGTGGAGGGCTTCTGGGAGGAGTCGGCAATGTCAGATGAACTGACACCGTTCTCTGCCAGAGAGCCTGAGAGGAGACATGAAGAGAATAAAATAGATTAATACAAATAAAGCTAACGTTATATTACTTAAAGGAATATTTCACCCCCTTAATGATCATTTTTATCATACATCAACAATCTCAGGATGAGTTTGGTGCCTGGGCAGGTGCATGTGTTGTCTGCTCCTGCCCAGCATCTCGTTCACTGGCCAGGAAACAACAGGCATGGCTGAGTGACAGCAGAGCTCCTGACCAATAGATACTTTTACACTGCCTGTTCAAGGTGGCAATATTGCGTCATTATGCCACCTTGCTGAGCCAGGAACGGAGGTAGCAACGGCCCTGAAACAAGGTCTGTGTAAAATGTAAAGCTGGAAAGTTCTGACCATGAGTGGAGCGGGGGTGTGATGTTTTGATTACGTGCGACTGCACGCAGGAGACTTAAAAAGCAGCTGCTAGCAATTAGCGGCTAACTCAAAGAAGAAAAATGGTGCTGTAAAAAAATGAGATCTGGCAGCTCTTTACCCTCCCAGCAGAGGACGAGATCAGCCGACATACATGAGAAAAAATAAATGATTGTGATTGTGACATGTTATGGCATTGTTATTGTTCGTTAAGGGCTGCAAATGCACATGTTATATGTCACACTAGGGGATTGTTGGATGCCAAGATGCAGTGTATAATCACACACAGGGGAGGAATGATGTAGCCGTCACTTGGTTCTGAGTAAAAATGCAAAGGGAGCATACAGAAGGGATTTTGTAGCAGCTCTGTAGTGCGATCACTGTGTAAAAGAGGCTGATGAAATTCAGGAGCAGAGTTCAAATGCGTGCCCAGGTGTGCTACTTGTATGCAGAAGTGTTTTAAATAGTATGGACTGAGCTTACATCTGGATATAAAACTACGTTTTTTTGACTAGTTCAAGGTAACACAGGAAGAGTAATTGATATACAAATGGGGCTGAAGCATGCCTTTAAACTTCTGGTGTTTGCATCTTTAATCCTAAGATTTAGTATCTCAGTGAGGTCAGGGACTCACCAGACGTTCTGGTTGCAGCGCTGCCGTTGCTCTGAGGCCTCTCCAGCTCATCTCCATCATTCAAGCTGGTGGTGGCCTTTTCTCCGTCTGATTCCCGAGGAGCTGAGGGCTTCTTGGGCTCCTGGACCACGGCCATGGACACATAGGTGCAGGCAAGACCCACCTCCTGCTCCAGGGCTGTGCGAGTCAGGTAGCTGGAGTCTATCAGACGCAGGTCGCTGTATTTCAGAGACCTGGTGGGGTAAACATGTGATGAAGGCTGTTGCTGAGAAAAGGTAATATACTTGGATTTTCATTTCATAGAATTCTATGTTCTCTCCCAAAGATCTTTAATTTTGAAAATGCATTTTATGTCCAAATGATACTGAAAATTAGACACCACAGCACACAACCCAAGGCTGGCACACTGAGTGCCGGACAGACTTGTAACTGGACCTCTGTTGTAGAGAAGACAACCCACACTGTGTGAATGCAGATGTGTAAGATAACACTTGGAAGGTAAAAGAAGTCAAGGCAACAGCACACCAAGAGGAATCAAAGATGAGCTAAAAGATACTATACTTTGCACAACTGACTCTCAGGCTTTATTATGAGTCATAAGGAATATTGTGGCGTATGAACTAACCTGGGGAAAGTTTCTCCAAGAGGGTCCTTCCCTGTAAGGATGACGATGCAAGGCAGCCCTTCCAGATCCTCATAAGTGTGCGGTACCCAGTCTTCATTCTCACAGCCTCTCCACGCCTACAGCAAAACACAGTTATTACATAATGTTTACTGTTTACTAAACAAAACTTGCATATTAGGCTGATACTGGACCAAGAGATCAAATAGGATATCTAAGGGAGAGGTTTCCTTTTCAGTGGTTACAAATATCATGTACAAATTTAATCAAACATAAAATAGTGTTGTTTTTTAAGTCAGCTGTGTAGACTAGAGCTAAGAGCTGAGAATAAATCCTAAAACCGTTCACTGGCTGTGTTTCAGTGGAGATATTTGGAGGTTTAAATGAGCTTTGAGATTAATCTCTGTGTTGCAAGAAAAAAAAAGTCTAAGAAAAAGAGATAAGTGAGTTCTAAGAAGTCAAATTCCTGATAATTACTTCAGACTTCTCTGTAAAACCCAATTTCATTCACATCCTCATATCTGTTCAAATATTGATGAACGTGTTGCTTGCCTGAATAAACCACAGTAAAACTGTATAAATATTTAAAGTGTATAATAGAAAATACAATAAAAAGACTCATGACTGTGGTTTTATGTCTTTCTCACCCTGAGGCGGCTGGTGAAGTTCCTGGGCAGGTTGAGTTCGGAGGCGGGGCTTCCTAGCAGCACGGCGAAGCACAGCTGAAGCCCCAGTTTGTCCCTCACGTCCTCCAGTCGCTCCCGGGCCAGCATCGCCAGCTGCAGCGAGGGGACTCGAACCAGCAGCATGTGGCCGCGACCCTGGGAGCCCTCTCTGCTTGGGGCGTTGATAAGGTCCTCCACCATGGCCAGGGTCTCTGGGGTGATGTGGTCTCTCAGGGACGGGGAGGAGGTTAGGGCCATCATGGCCTCTGTGTACTGCTGAATCAGCAGGTAGCTGCGGATCACCATGCTGTGCAGGTGCGGATGTCTGGGGCACAAACAGAGGAGTTTGTTAGTCTGAGCTTTATGTTACGATGTCTTTTATCAACAAAGGCACCATTTTCCCAGATTTGTGCGTCTTAACCCACTCACTCAAAACTGACAGAAAACACACCTCTATATGATCACATATTGGATCACAATACGTTAATACATGTTGATGATTTCTCAGTGATGACACCACACTGACCTTTCCAGCAGTGTGTGGACCATCTTCTCAAACGCATCATCACAGCGCAGAATGGGGCTGGCCACACCCCACTGCAGGGAGCTGCTGTAGTCCCTCAGGCCAAAGTAGAGCAACTCATTAGGAGACTGCTCCCCCTGCTGGACGACAAATATAGCACAGATCAACATGGCATACTCTTAAATGTCAACGCTGTTAGTTTTTCCCTCCATTTACACATTAACTACACTGCGTAAAATTCAGCATTTAAAAGAGGAACTAATGTATTGAATATAATTAGTCTTATTTCACTGCATGGCGCTTGACCTAAAAGCTAAGTGAGTGCTTTCACCTCGTTATTATTTGCCCTCTGAAATTAAGAGTTCCACTTAAAATGTGTCAGTTGAATATGTCTATGGGTTACGGGCGTGACTTTAACAGGCCTTAATATCATGTAGTGATTCTCAAGAAATGTTTTTGTGGAGCATTTTTAAACCTGCCTGGCTGTCCTGTTAACTGGGAAGCACTGTTATAAATAATGTCATCTGGGCGATAGGTCATTATAATGATGAGAAGGACTAGTACAGCTTGACCTTAACATCCCTCCTCTGCTCTGCAACTCTGAGTCCTATTTTTATATTCAAATAATGAGGAGTACAAGCTTAAATATCATTAGGACTGACCTAAACCCCTGTTATGCAGGAAGTATAAACAGAATTACAACCCACACACACTGACCTGAAACCAGAACAAATCTATTTTTGAAGACTCTGTAGTACCAAAACTGTGTGGTGCTCGGTGTACTCTGTAGTACCAAAACAGTGATCTCAGTTGAGGGCGTATACCTTTCTCTCCCCATGTGTCCTGTCTAACTCTACACCTATCAAAATAAAGCAAAAGTTTCCCCCAGAAAATTATATTTCAGTTAATATCTCAAAAGTCAATACGGTCTAAGTTACCCTTCTCGTTAGTGTAGGTGCACTTTAAGTCCACCAGGTGGAGAAGCTAAACCACAAGTGTTACAAACTGGCCTCTGCATCCTGCCATCATATTGAAATTTAACATTTAGAAATTAAATAGCTCAGATGTCTCACTGAACGATCCCTCTTTGCACAAATGTGTTAGTTGATCTTTCACAATGACTTCCATGACTTTTCTTGGGTCGTCAATACTCACCAGACTTTGGTTGGAGGGCCAATGGACTTCGTTGTGGATGCTGATGCGGGACTGGCGGGTCTGCAGCGTGTGCGGGAAACAGCTGACCTGCAGCACCAGGAGGTTCATGGCATCGAGGACTTCCTGACAGTTCACCACCCGGTCAGCCAAACCCTGCAGCTCGCCATGGCACACAGAGCCTGACAGAGCACTGGAGAGGGAGTAGGGCAAAGTGTCTGAATATGGATGGATATTCTAGATTCGTAACATTTAACACAGACAAAAATAACCACCCGATTAAGGACATGGTTCATGAGGGATTTTGCATTTGCTGCGCTAACTGCCCAGTGTGTTGTAGGTCATTCCCAAGAAAAACCCCGTGGAACAAAGGAAGTGATCTTTTTTTAGGTTTCTGGCAATGACAACAGCAGATTGCTTTGAATAGGATCTTAGCGACTGGCTGCCAGGAACATAAACTGTCAAACTGCAACGACACAAAATATCAAGTAAGAACAAATATGTCTAAAAATAATTATTAAATCAGGGGTCTCAAAGTATCTGGTCTACATTTCATCACAATCCAAGGTTACAGATACTCGGTGCTGTTTGTTTTCATTCGCTTGCAGCTGTTCTCCTCTCGGCGCTGTACTCAGAAGGAGTAGTGTGTCAGAAGGACAAGGCTACATTTGCAGCCATAACAACTCATCTTTTCACACGGCTTTGGATTGTCAACAGAGCAACACGGTGTCAGTGGGGTCGTCTTACCTTGTGAGGTCGACGTGCGAGTTGTCGTGGATGAGGACAAACAGGGTGTAGGGGTTCTGCTTGACTTTCCTCATGAAGGCTTCCATTTTGGTGTGAACGTCACCGTCCAGACGCACCACGTACTTGTCTGATTTCTGGTAGGCTGAGCAGGCGTCTTCGATTCCCAGGTCGACAAGTACTCCTGAGCAAAACATAAAAGAAATGAATATTTGATATGATCTTGTTATCATAACTTGGTGGAACAACACTGCTAGAACATTTATTAATTATGTAATTCTGAAAGTTTAAGATCTAAGCAGGAGGAGAAACCATCTTGAATCTTTATTACGCTGATATTTACACCACTGGACACAAACCTGATTGTCGGATGCGCTGTGCTGTCTGGTGCACCAGGATGTGAGATGGAGGCACCAAAACAAGAAAGTCCACTTTACAAAAACGCCCCAAATCGAGATTCTGGGTTCCTGAGTCAGCGATGGAGCAGACTTGAGAGAGGAGGCTCCGAGCGACGCTCAGCTGGGTCGGATAGATCTGGAAAACCTTACTTAACAGCTCTGCTGCAGAAAAACAAAGAGGGAGAAAGCATAAATGTCAATTTAATGTGCAACAAAATAAGAATTACCTTGAGTAAAACATTTAATAATGTAGAGTATACTGCTACCGGTGACAAACACAGATAAAAATTTACTGTAATTTATTGGCAAAAGAATGATCATTTACTGCAGAACAAAGGAAAAGTCTGAAATTTGAATAGAAGATAAATCAATAAATTAATCAGATTTGTTTGTTTGTGTGACATAACTACAGTCTAGGTAGAATATATATTGATTTTGTTGGATGGTAAAAGAAATTCTCCCCCTGCAGGTGAGCCAAGCAGCTCAGTGAGCACGATGGAGCACTCTCTAACCTCTGTCAGAGGGTGGTGACATGCTGGCAGCTTCCTGGGAGTGGATGTGGTCAGTGACATCGCCCTGAAAGGGCTGGATGACCTGCCCCTTCAGTCGGCGCTGGTATCGCACCAGCTGCTTGTCCAGATTGTCCCCTAAAATGAACCAGTCACCATCGTCACACAAAGACACAGAGGCGGGCACACAAGCTGCTGTGACACAAATACTCTCTCTACAGTCACTCATATTGAACTGATGCGTAACACCATTTCTATTTAAGTCCTTGACATCGGCTTTAAAGGGACAGTTCACCCCTACAAAATACGTTTCAGTCCATATAATAGGTGTAACATTCAGTTAATCTTCTTTCTCCCAAAGATTCTTACAACAACAGAACAATAAACACATGTTGTACGGACGCAGCTCTCACCTAATGATGTTGTTCTGAAGTGAGACGCCAAGACACTGACTTTCCCTGTGATGAGTTCGTAGCTGATCTCCTTCAGAAACTCATTTGTTGTCAGCATGCCTTCAGCTAAGGCCCGTGCTTGGTACTTTCCTGTGTCACATAACACATAAAGATTCCATTATTACACCTTTAACATCCATATTGTGCACAGACTTGTCAAAGTTATAACATAGCAACAAGCTTAAATGAGTTCCAATAAAACCAGGTGGCGACACTCACCCAAAACAAGCACGCAGAACTCGTTGCCGCTCATTTTGGAGGCACATATAACGACTACATATGTGGGCAGGCACTTCTGATGGTGAGGACCCTCACTGAGAGACCGAAGCGACTCAGAGATGCCCTCTCCCAGAGAGTTATGGGTAACCACGACTTGGACGCTGCCCCCTGAGACGCTGGCTTCCAGCCGAGCCAACCAGGGCAGCTGAGACGGGGAGATGGCAGGACCCCGGGGACAACACAGCATGGCCTTTAAAACAATCTGCTCCAGCTCCTCCCTCAGAGGAATCTGCTCCGAGCCTGTGAGAAAAATCAAATATGAAACGATAAAAATACTGATATACAGTAGAAACGTGCATGTAACAAAATATCAGCCAAAGACAAATATTTGTATGAGACACCAGCACCTTGAGGTCATTCACCCCACAACCCCGTGTGTTTGATGACAGCAAACATACCAGTGACACTGAGGCTTCTCTGTGTGTTTGAGCTGAGTGTTTGCTGCTTACCTAAACGTGCAAGATATTGTAAAGTGAGCAGGATCATTGTCTCCACGCAGAGACGCTGGCTGCTGTCGAGGCCCAACGTCTCCAGGGTTTTCTCTGTCAGCTGGCTGCTCTTATAGCAGCTGACCAGGAGGGGGCTCACCACTATGTCCCCAACGTTCCCATAGAAATAAGGTAAAGTGCCATGCCCTGAAAGGACAGTTATCATGAGACAAAACTGAAACATGTAGGGGACAATATATGGGACAACAATTTAACATTTGATCTGCTGTGAAACTCTGTACACAGTAAATTATTGGTAAAACTATTTAATATATTTAATTTGCAGGATTAAAAAACAGCAGGTGACTAAAATGAAGCTTATACCGATGAGGATGACAGGGCGAAATCCTGAGGAGTTGAGCAGGTTGTTGGGGACGATGACCGTCTCTCCAGCGGTGACAGGTTGAGGCTGAATGACTCCTGCTACCGGTGGCTGAGGAGGCGACACTCCTAATACAGAACCTGGATGGAAATAAAAAGATTCATGTCCGTACTATTACCCAGAAAACACTGCAGTAATATCTGTGGCTGTTGTACTGTGAAAAAACTTAGCAAGGACAATTTAATTTGAAATGATGGTTGCACAGATACCCACAATAACATGACGTGGCAGAAATGTTCCTCAATCATGCAATTTTATTATTAACTATTTCTGCAACAATCTCTCCAGCACTATCTCCATGGAGATAGTGGGTGAATCATCCTAACAACCAGAGGTACGTCAGGGACGCGGCATACTCATCCGCAACCCAGAGGGTGGGGGGTGCTATAAACAACACATGCTCCTCAGGGCACAGAAAACACACAACTGCACACACACATGCTTACACAGGCACGTAAGCACACACAGTGAAATGAGCCAAAAAGAAGCCATGTGGATCGATTTACAACCCATTTCACGCTGACTCATCACAACACGGCATAAAAAGCCATCCTGATTGGTTCATGAACTGACCTGGAGAGCAGACTATCGGCCGGATGGCTGGCACGGGGACGGCTGTGGGTGGGACGGGTACCAATGAGCTGGGATGCCAGCTCCGGTGCCGCTTCTTTGGAGGACCCGAGTTCATAGCAGTGGGTACTGAACATCCAAAGAGATGCAGGGAACGTGACAAGAGAAAAAAAATAGATAATGAATGTAACACAATGTGCTTCGGAAAATATGTGACTTAATTTTCTCTTCAGAGAGAAATCCTTACCAGGGCTGTCTCCTAAGTCAGCAGTGCGATACCCCTGACTTTGAGGCCCCAAAGAGACCTGGGAGGGGTTCAGTAAAGGAGGACGGCCATCAACAACTAGGCCATTTGTCGGCCCGTTTACCCTCAGAGCTGTCGGTACTAGAGACACACATACATGCACATGAATACACACATTAACACACCAGAGACAGTTAAGACTTTATACTTACTAACAACATACATACTAACAAAACTAGGAGTTTAGTAGGCATAGCAGTGCTTTAAAGGGACAGTTCACCCCAAAATCACAAATACATATTTTTCCTCTTACTTGTAGCGCTACTTATCAGTCTAGATTCTTTTGGTGTGAGCTGCATGATGTTGGAGATTTCGGCTGTAGAGATGTCTGCCTTCTCTCCAATATAATGGAACTAGATGGCACTCAGCTTGCGGTGCTAAAAGCGTTAAAGAAATACATTTGAAAAATGTCTCTTTCCAGAAATCATGACCCAGTTACTCAAGATAATCCACAGACCTTGTTGTAAGCAGTTTCATGTGGGGACTATTTTCTTTCTACTGAACTACACCCACGAACCGTATCCCTGCGCAGAAGGGAGCGTGCATCTACTGCTAGCTCACTTAGCACCACAGAGCTAGCTAATGTTACAGCTCAGCCGGGGAGGATGCCATTAATGTTTACTATTACTCTGTCTTGAGCATGAGCCTCTCGTCCATGAGTAGATGCACACTTCCTTTTTCGTGGTGATACAGTTGGCAGGTGTAGCTCGGGATAAAAAAATAGTTCCTTCATGAAACTGCTCACTACAAGGTCTGTGTAATATCTTGCGTAACTACAGCATGATTTCTGGAAAGAGACATTGCTGTTAAGTTATTCAAATATAGTTTTTGGCACAATGCCATCTAGTTCCATTATATTAGAGAGAAGGCGGACAAATCTACGGGTGATATCTCCAGCACTCTGCAACTCACACCAGAACAGTTTAGAACAATAAACAGCACAAACAGGTCAGAGGGGAAATATGTATTTTTGATTTTGGGGTGAACCATCCCTTTAAACTCAATGCTAATGTCAGCAAGCTAACATACACACAATGTTTACCATGGTCACAGACTTAGTGTAGTGTAAGCATGCTAATATTAGCTCATTAATTCAAAACACAAGCCTCAACAAAGTACAGTTGAGGCTGATGAGAATTTAATTATATTTTTTAAAGTAACTATAAATAATAAACCATTTGGGCAAGTTGGAATTTAGACCTGATGATGGCGCTAAAAGTCATTAGATCATCAACATAATTAGATTCATCCACTGGGTGGGCACTGTGCTTGTCTATAAAATCTTCCTGGCAATCCATCTGACAGTTGTTGAGCTATAATTTATAAATAGTTTGGCATCTGTAACTATGTGCTGAGCAATACATAAAAATGAGTCAGCACTAACAGTGGCCTATTGATTTCCTATACATGAACGTCAATCGCCAATGACCGGATCGGACATTTTGCAATCTCATATTCACTGTGTTTGCAATACACTAAAACATTGATTGGTGTGTGTAGCCTTTGCCTGTCAATATCACAACCTTGTAAAGGAGCTAATGGATAGCACAGCCTTAAAAAGTCATTACGGCATTCCTTCCTTTAGTATTGATCGGTGTGTAAATACAAGAACACACGCATGCATCTGTTTGTGTGTGCATGTCACGTGTGTGTGTTTGTTTGTGTGTGTGTGTGTGTGTGTGTGTGTGTGTGTGTGTCTAAGCAAGCCGTAGCAGAGGTTAATCTTGGCTCTACGGTCAGCCAAGGCTCCATCTGCCTTAATGCTGAACCACGTAGTGTAGCTAAGCAACCCTTTTCAGCATAAATACAAGGCCACTGAAGTGTCACTCACATAAAGGCCAAGGCGTACCAGCAACAAAATCCCTGCAAATACCAAAGCCTGGATGCAACTGAGAATGTTATGTGATGTTTTTGTGTGTGTCTCTGGTCTCATCTACCTTAGGAACTTAATAATACAGTCCAAGTAAAGCACAATGCCGAGGGGAGATACACTGACAAGGTGATTAGCTGATAAAGCAACAAGCAATTAGAGGTGCACTGAAAAACAGCCTCACCTATTGGTAGAGTCTTGTTTCCAGGTGTGGATGACAGAGGTTTGAGGAAACTACAGTCTCTGCCGAGGTCCTGACTCCCGAAAAAGACAGAGGATACCTGCGTCGTTCTGGTGGGTGGAGAATCTGAAGGTGAAAGATGATGAATTATCATTAAAATACAATTAACAGCTCACCAGCTCCCTGCAGCCTGGACACCCACTGCTCCACAGTCTGGGCTGCAATCAAACACTAACTCTTCTGTATCCATATCTGCATGAATAAAAACTAACCATAACTCTCCTTTTCATTAATGATCTTGGGATAACCAGTCATTTGGAGTGCAGGTGGAGAGGCGCATGCTACGGTGTTCGACCTCTTGGCTAGCAAAACGTCGACGACCTCTTTGGGAGCAGGACGTACCTGAAGGTCTCACTAGTCCGGATATTTCAGGCGAGGGTTACGCCGACAACGAGCCCTGCGGCTCAGCTGTCTAACACATTACTGTGTGAGATCTCTGCTGACAGGCAGCTTCCAGGTTCAGAACAAATCAATACCGTAAGCCCGGGAGCTTTATTTTCAATCAAAGAGGGAACAAGCACTCTTGTTGTGAGAGGTCAGAGAAGAAACATCTCCTCAAAGAGAGGAAGAATCCGTCTTGCTGCCATATCGCATTTAGTGATTGGTCGAAGAAATGAATAATGAATTATGCGCCTGAATTGTATAAAATTTCCTTTTTGGCTTACAAGTATTACAATATGACATAGAAAACTGATTAATTTTGTATATTTTTATTTATTTAAAACATATCTCTTCTTATATTTTTATATTTTCTGATTTTTTTTTCTTAATTTTATATTTAAAAGTAAATACTGTGTTATGAATTGTAGCATACTGCAATTTTTTTCCCTGGATACTTCTTATTTATTTCTATTTTCTTATATTTCCCTATGTTTGTATTGTGTAAGAGCAACAACAAAGTCTCCCAAATTCCCTCCAGGATCAATAAAGTATTCTCAATCTCAATCTGACTATCAGACACTGCAACCACCACTTTTAACAATAATAAAAATACACTGAAAAGGTTCATTACCGCTACAAAATGGGATGTAACACAGACACCAAACCTCCTTTTTGTCACAAACTCATTCATGAAACAGCTGATTGCAGTGTAGTCGTTCAAGCATCAGCTCACCTAATATAAATAGTACATTTCAGGGCTTAGCCATCACCTGTCTCTATGGCAACAGCATAAACCTACAGACGCAGTGACTCTTTTTGGTGAAATATATACATTTTGGATTGACATTTTAGGAAAAATGGAGGCAATAAATTTGACAAAACTTTAGATAAATGTACAGAAGTTCATGTTATCCTGAAGTGGCTCTCTAAATCTTGCAGTATTATCTGAGCTGCGCACAGCCTCACCTGAGAGGGAGAAGGGAGAGGAGCTGTGTCCACTAGCGCCTCCGTTTTCTTTGCTGCTGAGAGAGGAGGACGAGCTGGGTTTGGATGTGGATGCGCTGCTGGAGAACTGACGGGTTTTACAGTCTGAGAAGAAACAGACAGGAATGATAAACAAACAGCACATCATCGGAGAACAAATCAGTGCACGCTGGGGTTTTTACCCTTCCAGCAGATGAGGGGTCCTTTGCACAGAGCACCCTGAGAATTCTTCACCAGGTAGTATTTTAAGTGCTTCTGCTTCTTGGGCTGGGTGGATAACTTCAGGTTGATGTGGTTGGAAAACTCAGTGAAGTATCTGAAACCCTTTTCCCCACAGCCCACACAGTTTCCTGAAAAACCTGGAAGTAATGGAACAAAAATGGAGTTATTGTTTCATTTTACTAAACATTTATTAGCCAGTATTTACAGTCCAGTCTGGAGTGTGACCAGCACAGATTTAGATCTACCAGGAGCATAAAATGATGCTGCTCTGTAGGCGTCACTCTGATCTCAGACCAGGAGAACAGACTGACCTAAAAGTGCATTTTTCCCATTCTCGTCAGGTAAAAAGCGTCGGTCCACGGCACACACAAGGATGTGCTCGGGGACGTTGGGGGACTTGGCGCCGACCAGCTCAAAGCCTGCTGGGACTTCAATGGGCTCGGTTGCTATGGAGACCAGGCGCAGGTCCTTGCCGGCCTGACAGAACCCTGAGGAGGAAGAGCGTTTTACGTCAGAGGATGAAGCAGATGTAACATTTAAAGAAACAAAGACGAACTTCAGACAAACGTGTATATGTTTATATTTAGTTTATATTTAACAGTCCACATCAAAGCCTTTTGGTTTTACCATCCAGTGTGCAGCAGCCGTCGGGCACAGGGGCCTGCAGGTAGGGAAGTGGAGGGCTGCTGCTGTCTGAGTCATCGTCGTCCTCCAGCTCCTCCAGATCGTTGGAAGAGTGGCCGTTTATAAGCTCGTGGCCTGGCGGCTCCCCACCATGGAAGTCGGCTTTCGCCTTCATGTCTGAAGAACATTTTGAATCCTATTACTTTCAATTTATTGAGCTGGATTAGAATTATGAGTAACACTGTATTTTACACGTCCACAAATTCCTTAAAAAAAAAAAAAAAAAAAAAAAAAAAAAGTACTCAGGGTTAGGGTTTGTTAAATGTGGCGTTTGTCCAAGTGTACAATTCAGCATTAATCAAAAATTAAGTTCTAATAAGACATTAATTCATTTTATGTGGTTTTAAATTGAGGTATTCTTTACAAGAAATTCATTTTTTTCCACTTTCCACTTTTCCAGTAGCATTTATAACCCAAGTAACTAACTCTAACCCAAGTAGAGGTAAACACTGATCAGGTCTAACTCCTAAACAAACTACTAAACCACTTTGTTTCTCTTCTAGGGTGTCATAATCCAGGATAAATAAAAGATAAGTGCACTTTTCCATGATGAAAACAAATCAATTGTCCGGGTTGCGGTTCACCTTGTCCTATGGTTCCTATTTTCTTTGCTCCTTTTACTTCATAGCTTTTTAAGGGTGTTTCTGGGAATACCTATCATGTAGGTGGGATATGTAAAGGACTTTTAGCAGGAAATGCTTAACTATATGCATAAGATTAAAACTTCAATAACATAACAAAAGATGAACAGAGCCTGCAGGAGTAGACGAGTCTAGCTTCTACCTAGACAGCTTTATTATCTTACTATTTAATGATGAAAATTCTGTGTGTCTGTGTGTGTGTTCCACGTTTTTCTCCTCACTGACTTGGTCAATCCATGTGAAATTTGGCACAGTGGTAGAGGGTCATGGGAGGATGCGAATGAAGCAATATTACATCAATTGGCCAAAGGGGGGCGCTATAGCAACCGATTGAAATGTCAAACTTTGAATGGGCATATCTCATGCCCCGTATGTCGTAGAGACATGAAACTTTGCACAGAGATGCCTCTCCTCATGAGGAACACATTTGCCTCAAGAACCCATAACTTCTGCTTATATAGATTTTCCACCATTTTGAATTTTTTGAAAAACACTTCAAATGGATCTCTTCCTAGGAAGTTTGAGCGATCTGCATGAAACTGGGTGAACATAATCTAGGGACCAATATCTAAAGTTCCCTCTTGGCAAAAGTTGGAAAACTTACTAAAACTGAGCTTCTATAAGGCAATGAATATTGTGGAGGGCGTGGCTCATCACATAAAGGTGTATAACATCTCAAGGGTTTCACCCATCACCACGCAACTTTGTAGGCATATGACCACACATAATCTGAGGGGACCCCTCCATTATTGAGCCCATCAAACAAAATGGGGGCGCTAGAGAGCTCATTTTTTTATCTAGGCCTAACCGCCATATGGATTTTTACTAAACTTGGTAGATATGTAGAACAGGACGCCTCAAGGTGACTGGAGAAATTTAACTCTAATTGGCAACTGGGTGGCGCTATAACAACAGAAAAATGCTTCAAAATGGCTAAAATGCCACCAATCGCTGTGGCTCCCCCTGTGGACCAATGTTTGTTTGTTTTTTCTAATTTGACTGAAGTCATGGTATGGTATGCTGTACATAATCACAGAAACTGTCAGTGTGTCATTCTGTCAGTCAGTCATTCTGTCTGTCCCACGTTTTTCTACTCACTGACGTGGTCAATCTATGTGAAACTGCACATAGGCATTGAGGATTGGCATAGGTAGAAGGTGACAAAGCTACCAATGGGTATGGAATAGTCTGTATCGTTTTACAAATTGTCCTTCATTTGTCTGTATCCTGTATGTAAGCTTCTCCATCATCTGAAAATCGTCTATGATGAACATACATATTTTTAGTAACCTTCCTATGAAATCGTTTGCAAATACAGACTCATAAAATAAAGTGTTACTGAAATTTGTTGAAGACAAACCATTTGACTCAGTGTTACAATACTGATCAGGTGTCAGTACTTTGGCATGTTCATATCGTATCTGTATCTGTAATCCAGAGCTGCATGACCAAAATAAATCATCAGTAATACACACATGACTGTCAGGCAGACCTGTGCATCACCTACCGTCCATATTACCAGGATACGGCTCTGGCTCAAGGTAGAGCTGTGTGAAGATTGGCTGTGGATCTCCACTGCTGGAGCGCAGCGAAGCCTCAATAGAGTTGTGGAGAGCCTCTTCAAATCGAGCAGACTTCAGCTGCCCGGCGTAAGAATTCCCCATTATCTGTGAGAGCAAAGAGGAACATGAGCAATAATGCACAGTCATGGCACTGTAATCTCTGCTTATTGATTTGTTCCTTACATAAGAATAGCGAGGGCTGCAGATGGCCGACCAGCAGCAGGTGTCTCACACAAATGCATTCATGTTCTCAAATGAACGCAGCTGTATCCTTCTGAGGGTTTCGGCTATGTACATCAATTGGCTGGTTATTTGAAATTTGAAATCAAGCAGAGCTTTAGCTAGCTCTGGGTAATTGTGGCAGGAATTTTTCAGTCTGAGACCAAACTATTAATCATTAAATCGAGGAAATAATCATAAATATAATCAATGATGAGCACCTGCAAGCTCCTATGAGTAACAGCATGCACATGCATTTAACATTACATTCATATTACTGATGATTCTTTATCAGAAATCTCACTGTGTAAACATTCTGCGAAAGCCCCACCAGCCAAAACTACAACACTGTCGCAACATTGATATTGAGGTATTTGGTATTTGATTTTCACACAACACACACACAGTCTCTCTGTCAGGCCAAACATAATGGCCAAGGCCACTTTTTGGCTCTGTCTCCTTCTGTCTGTTGTGTCACTCTGCCTGCTCTGCCCCCGTGCCCCCTCCACCCCAGTGTCCACTCTGGGACATCTGCCGGGGTCGGCTGCGTGGGCCTGAGGTTGGCTGGCTCTCTGGTGGCAGCTGGCAGCTGGACAGAGGGCTGAGCACGTCGTCTCAAAGAACAGAAAAAGAGACAAAGAGTGGGGAGAAAGAAAGAGAAGTAGATAGCACCCCGAATGTGATGAAAGAGCAGCGCTGACCAATCCTTTGCTTCATCATGGTGTCCATCCAACACACAATGGAGCTTCCTGCTCAAACTCCCATGTTTCAGTTTGTCAAAACATTTCACTCAACTGGTTTTTAATACCGTGCCAGTAATCAAGAGTGTTCAAGAGAAATAAAGGGAGTGCTGGCCGCTTTCCTGACATGAGTTTGGCCTGAAATACCTTCCATGTTTGTCCTTGGACTTCACTTGGCCGGTGCAGACCAGTGTTGTGGTTCATCAACACTACAGGAGCTGAGTGGAGACCCAGCTTGAAGACTTCAGCTGTTTTGGAAAAGCTCAAACTCCTCATTCAGGTCTAAATAAAGATCCTGTGCAGCTGCTGAAGCACTGATTTGACAAGGTTATATTTAGTTTTGACGATAGCCAGTTGTATAAGTGACATCAAGTTGAGCTCAGAGTTTTGTAATGATTTAACTAGCCTGGCCTCAGAGGGTTTCTCTCCAACACAAAAAAACTCTGTTGATTTTGGTAGGGCAAAGGTGCACAAAGGCTGAATTAGAAACTGAACGGAAATAAAACTTTTACCACATCACTGCACAGAAGGAAGCGCACATTTACTGCTAGCTCACCTAGCACCACGCTGGAGGACGCCATTAATGTTTACATCTCACAGTGCCACAAACACGAGCCACTCGTCCATAAGTAGCTGCACGCTTCCTTCTCTGCAGACACTTTGAGCACCACAAACCGAGTGCCATCTAGCTCCATTAAATTTGAGAGGAAGCAGGTATCTCTATGACCGATATCTTCAACACTCGATGACTCACATCAAAACAACCTAGACTGATAAACAGCACCAATTTTTTTGTAATTAGGGCTGCAACTATTGATTATCTTGTGATTATTTTCTTAATTAATCAGTCATTTTTTCTCCTGTCAGAAAGCAGTGAATAATGTCCACCCAAGCTCCCTATGTGAGGTCCTGTCTTTTTCTTTCCTAGCAATCAGATCAATGATTTCTATGTTGTTTGTCTGTACCACACACTGAACGTGTCAGTCAGAGAATCAATATCTACCTGATACAGAGTGCCTTTTGGCCAGACAGAAACCATGAACCTTTTTATTTTGTCAATACTGGGCAGGGTGGGAACAAAGTTGGAGCTGCCTTCTCCTCCCAGGTCTCCTTTAGCCCACGCCTGGACAGGTTCCAGACCCCATGTTTACCTAACAACCTTCCTGGAGAGGAATCTGACCAACCCAGACAAAAGACAGGATTAACAGTGCCTGACTGTGCTGTCAAAGAGATAAGCAGCTTAACAGAATGAAGCTACAGTATTTCTTGCTTAACTGATGTAGGAAGGTGGCTGCACAGAGACAAAGACAGAGGGGGTGGGAAAAAGACAGAATGGAGAAATGAGTGCCTGAGGGCAGTTTCAAGCAGCCGCTGCCTGTTGGATTGTGAAGTCAAAGGAGACTCCAGAGGCCTCTTTGGCTGGCTGACCCTCGAGCCTCAGCGGACAGATTTGTCATTAACCTTGCGCAGGCCGGAGGTGAACATAGAGAATGACCTTTTATCACCTGCGCAACTTAAAACAAAGCGTGACTGTGGCAGAGGTCGCTTTACGGATGTTTCCGAGGTGTGACTCAGATGGTTGCTAAGGTCAGTTGTAGTCGGGGGGGGGGATTTCAGGTGAGTCAGTGGCTGCAGTCTGTTTGATGGTTGGTCAAACATAATGAGTGGACTCTACTGGTGAGACGCAGGTTAATGTGTGAAGACTAAAGGCTGAAAAGGGGGGAGTTCATGTCACCCAGTAGTGACTTAAAACTGCCTCTCAGTCGGTCAGATGGTCAGTCAAGGCCACTCCTCGGCTCCTGGGTGGCATCAACAGATTGTGTGAATGTGACCCCGGGTCAAAGTAAGTATAATCTTCACTCAGTGGATTTGGGAGGACCAGAGACAGAGAAAATATGGGAGCACAGGCAATCTCCAATAGATGAGCAGTGAAATAAAAACAAGGTGACTTACGTTGTCGGATTGTTCCCAGGCGTGAAGGGACCTGTTTGCCTCTGCTACATGCTGGATCTCTACCACTCTGCAGGAACTGTCAGCAAAGACTTTTCACTCAGTGCTTCAAGACCTGGGGGAGAGCAGACAGATCTTTAATGTGAAAAACTGCCTGTAAATGATACAACAACACATTTTATATATCCTGAGAGATATGCTGTGGCACAGTGGTTCTCAACTTCTTATGTCCAGGACCCCTAATTTGAAAAAAGAATAGTGACTCTTATGACTCACAGAAATAAAACTATAAACTATATCCCATCTGTCTGGGAAGCCCCTGGAATTCCCCCAATGACCCCTGGGGATCCTGGACCCCTGGTTGAGAGCCACTGCTGTAGCATACTGGAGTTAGGTTTTCTCTAAGGAGCCAGTATTATACATCTGATGATTGTGTTCATCTCAAGTCAATAAATATTCAGTAAACAGCTTCCAATTTTGAACAACAAATTTATGGCTAAAATAAAAAACAAAATCAAACACTCCTCATAAAGAGTAATTCAGTGTCAGATTCGTTTTAATGCATCGTTTCCACACAGTTTTGTTTCGTGTCCAGATATCCGTATAGTATATGGGGTATGCCCCAAGTGTTCAACGCAAGGAAATGCATCTCCTCACAAATGGATAAAAATGCCACTGAAGAACTGGCAGAAAAGTTCATTTTGAGTGTTTTTCACCATCCAGTCTTGTGGAATATGTGCATGAAGCAGCATGGAGACAAAGACAGGACCAATATTGCATAGTGACAAATACGTGAGGAGGTTAGCCTGTCAGGTGTGCAGACAGTTTTGTGAAATGTTATGTTAAAAGTCGTAACCGTATGATTAGGATCGTTGCCATGGTAATGAACATTCAAATCAGTATTTGAATGCTTTGGGTTTCTTTTTTTAACTTATGCATTACCCAAAAGTTCTCAAATAGCCCATGACATAAATGGTAATCCAACATTATTCAACACTAACATAGGTTACAGTCAATGTATTCACTCAGTTGTCTATAGGCCTACATATGAGCCAATTTGTTTTTATGGGGCGTGGCAGCAATTCATTTGATGTCATTACTGCACATTTTGTAGACGTTTTCACTTCAATAAAAAGGAAAATTCCTGAAGTCCTCATCTGTCATTAGACGCAAAGTTTATGATAGCTTGTGTTGCTTCCCCTCGGCTGAGCTTCGGCGAAGCTTCGGATATTTGTAGGGGTTTCTCACTGAAGATTTGAAGCCCAAAAATGGTGTTTGAAACAGCCCTAGTTATGATCCACTATGCACTCTGTGCTACCAATGTTAGCTAGCTAAACATGCCATCAAACTTTTCACTTGTAAAAAATGTATAACTAGAGCTGTATTATATCCCTTTTCCACCAAACTCTGTGTTTGCATGCTTTAAATGCGGGTAAAACTGCTAAACCGGCTATAGACTCGCTTCCCATTGCCAGTAGGCTGGAGCCATCTACATGGCTCATGGCACATTCGACATCATGGACAGGTTAGTAAACAGTAAACCATTTTTACAGTAGTAAGGCTACTTTTTAAAATCTCTTATTTATTCAGTCGCTCTTTGAAACTCAATGCAAACTCATTTGGTACGATGTTTGAGCGCTGCTCAGATGGCGATGGAGAGTATTTTGTGGATGCACGTGGTAAAGCGGCTAAAATTAGCATGTCCACCCGGGTGCTGTATTTCCATCACTGCAGATGGAAGCTGGAGCCGATAAATACCCATGACTACTGCAAAGTCATGTGACCGGTGAACCTTTCCCATTACATACAAAAGCCAGATGTTAGCAGGTGAGATTTTTTGTGCAATGGGAAAGCGGCTTTACATTAATCAGTCTAATTTGTGTAAAAGGTCTTTCCGAAATGTGCCGCAAAGTTAAATCTTTTCAACGTACTTCAGGCAAATTCTGCAGCGGAGAAAAAATAGACAAAAGGAATCAAACACATCAGAGATCACAGAGGTTCTCATAGAAATGAATGGACTTCTGGCTGACTCATAAAGACTTTTTTTTCCCCAGACATTAATATAAACATGAGCTTGATAGTCAAATTCTACTTGTTCCCACTGCATTTTCACATTACAGAAATTCTCAAGACATCAGCCTCATTGAGACACTCTCAAAATATGATGTAAAGCCACAAATTTGCAGCAGCATATCTCATGTATGTATGCTTAAGTTTTATTTCTCCAGATAAAAATCAGCGTTGAGATAATGTACAAAAGCATGGAAAGCCAAGCACTGTTTACTGAAACACGCCTGCTCCAGAAAGTCTGGCACTCCAGGTCTTCACGGTCCAAAGACTGAGAGCATTCACAGAATGAATGGGTGCACTTACAGCCACTCAAACATTGACAGCGACTCAAACCATATGTACTCACTACTGCATGGCTAGAAACGCGTTATGTGACACTGCAGCCCTGGGGCTATTTTGATCAAACACAATTGGGTGTTTTAGTTTGTAGCCGCGCTCACTACACACACACACTCAGTCTCCTCTGAATGGATCTGGCAGTTACTTTGACCCTTTGACAAAGTATTGTTTAGTCACTCAGGACCTGATATAGCATAAGCAAAGTTCCCCTCAAAAGTCACAATCTGCCGCATCATCACTTATGACTGTGTCGTGCGACACTATAAGAGGTTGACCTGGGGTCCAAGTCCTCCAGAAGGCAAATGTACATAAGCTGGTTCAACTTGCATTTACTGACCACAGTGTAACCTATTTTGTCAATGATTAGCCAGCTTGATACAGCTAATCAAGGCAAAGAGGTAAAAACGTCAATATGACTGACAGAAACCTGCACTCCTCTACCTCCTGGGCGACTGAATCGCTCACTGAAATTTTTGTTTAAAATAGACAAAAATCACGTCTGAATTTAACGTAGCATTGATCGTGTTAGATGTACTATCCTGACACAAGTTCATGCTTTACCCTCCTCCTGGTGTTCTCACAAAAATCTCTGCTAATTACCCAAGGAGCAGAGTCTTGAAATATTTTGATGCTTATCTCGTCGCGAAGGGGTAGAAGACACAGAAGGAGACGCAGATGGCTCCCGAGATGAAGGTGAAGGAGCCGTAAATCTAGACATCAACACGAGCCCGGCCCGAGGTGCTTAATCAGATCCTGTTTTTCCAGTAATGACATTTGAGGGAATGTATAGGCCGACACGCTGGCTTGGTTTGGAGAAAGGCTGGAGCCAAGGCTTTGCTTGAACACACACGCACACACACACACACACACACACACACACAGGCCTAACTAAACAGGCACTTTGAAATGCAAGTGCAACTGCATGTGCATACACACCCAGCATATGTTATTCATCATGTACGGCTATGGTTATGTGTAATGTACACTGTACAAAAATGCATAAAGAAAGGAGAAGCTGAGATTGTGATAATGCTGCAGTAAAGAAAAATCAAATTTTTTATTTAATCTATTGAATTTTTAAAACACATTTTAGTACAAATGCAACCATGAAATTGCATAAACAGTCATCTGTGCTTACATCATAGGCATTGTTTTTGAGGGGACGCAGTGGACAAGTCATCCTCAATGTTTTATTCTGACATAATTAATGACATTTACATTATTAATTGATGCAGCAAAGGCAAAAATTAGCACATAAAAATTCACCAGAATGCAAAAACCAAGTGTTTTACACTCCAACTTTGTGGCAGATGATCCCTAAACCGTCTGTGTCACATGTATCCCCTCCAAATGTTGAAACAAAAGCTACGCCCTTGTTTTTACATTGAAAACAGTTTTCAAAAATGATGTAAGCCTAAAGCTTTCTCAGTACATTTTCTAAAAAGCACAACTGGTTCATTTGAAATAAATGAAAAGTGAATGTGGATGTTGCAAGTAAGAGGAGAATCAACAATCACATGTTGTAAATCAATCCTCATGACAGATATTTATCCTAAACATTTTTTCAAATATTTAACTTTTCTTTCTGCCTCCTTTCGTTTCTCCCTCAGCTGCATAATTACATTACAGTGTTTACAATAGAGAGCGAGAGGCAGGATTAAAGTTATTTCCCCTCTTGACCTGGTTTCATCAGATTCTGACTCAGCAGATCCTGCAAGTCAAAGCCAAGACTTTTCCAAATGAATGTGAGGAAATCCCTCTCCTGTTTTTCTACATTCCATGTAAATATTTGAAAAACAGAAGTAGGAAGATGTTGAAACTGTCCATACAGTTAAACTTGAGGCATTAAAAATCTGCAAGTCAAAATGAGCTAATCCAGGATGTAGTGGCTGCATTGAAAGTCATGAAAATCCCTGGAGATAAAATGTTAATGAAAATTTGATAAATATCTAAAGTGTTTTCACCTCATTGTTATACATTAATGTTTAAGGTTGAAATGCGGGAGAGAGCTCAGCACACTGTTAACATCAGAAAAGCTGTGGTGAGGAGACACTGCCCATCAGACATGAGAGAAAGGGGGATGGGGTGAGAAATGAAGAGGGGAGGAAAAAAAAAGACAAACATCTCTTCATGTTCTCTAAATTAGGTGCTAAAAGCCCATCTCATTAATGCTACGTCAGAGCCACACGCGACAAACAGCAAGCAGTAAGAAAAAGAAAGCTCCTGTACCTTCCATGACTGCTCGACCAGCGGATAAACTCTTTAAATCCAAAATCAAATGCAGTAAATCCCAAATGTAAAGGCAGCTTTTCTCTCATATGAAGTCCATTTTAGATCATAAATCCTCAGGGAAAGAATTTGTTGATATCCAGGCAGCATATGGAGTTTCACTCTTCTCTGGTATGTCTCAAGTCACCTTTGTCATGATACTCTATGGAGAGAAATGGGAATCCCACTCCTTCCCTCAGAGCAGCAGAAACCCTCCCTCTTTCTCTCTCCCTCACATGCAAACAAACACACACACACATACACACAGACCCCTCCCCCTAAGTCCCCTATGCCCTCCTCTGTCCTGTGCCATTTGCCAAGGAGGGAGGGAATCCACCGGGGGCTCATTCATCATGGCCCTGCTGACCCCCTGTGGTGACAGATGCTCTTGGAGGCCTGCGGAGATGTGGGGGGAAACAAAGAAGAAGATCCAGCATTTCCCCGCTGCCACACAGCCGCGGCGCCCTGCCACGCGTGACCCCCAGCACGCCAAGGCGCTGACACCGTGTCAGGTGGAAGTTTTCGTTTTCGGGGTGGAAAAAAGGGGGTGAGGGGTGGGGGTGGGGAGGGTGAATCTTTAAATCAAACTTTTGCTCTCACGCTCGGTTCAGTCTCTTGCTGACTTTTTTATTGGGGGCCAATTCAGCAGACAGGAGAATCCGTCCCCAGCAAAATGGGAACAAGAATGTCAGGTCAGCTTGAGCATTTTGTGCCCGAGATTGACCCCACACTGGGGTTTTACTCCCGCTATAAATACCAGGGGCTCATCTGGTCAAAATAAATAAACGGAAATGCACCGCAAATCAACAGGCTCTGGCAGATGTTAGGGATTCTGTATCATCACAGTCTGGTGATCAGGGCTAGTACCTTATCATGATGTTACTAAATGGAGGGGGGGCTCCAACAAGGACGTAGGTTTCATTTTAACATTGTGCAGGATATATGTGTGCCTTGCTTTGCCTTTTATGTATCGATTTATGGTGGCAATGTCTTAATTTTGTAAAGTCCTCTGCTGCTTAATTTTTTTTACTGGGCGCAACAAATGCATGTTCTACATATTGAGGGAGGCGTGTCCCCAGCGTCCCCCTGAAATCTACACCTATGGCCACCAGAACGATCCAAATGTATGCAGCTGAAGTTATCTTCAACATCTGAGCAAAATATTAAACTTACTTCACAATATGAGACCAATTAAATCACTCTTCCTGAGTCCTCATAAAAAAATATTGTATTTTGACACTATATTTAGGATTCATAATCCAGTTTTAATAAAAACATTTTAAATCTTCAACCTTTTCTACTCAAGGTTGCTTAAATTTTGTATCGAACGTAACTCAATAATTTACCGTGGCCTCCTGACACATGGAAAGTCACAGCAATGCGCCCTAACTCAAGTTAACTGTATTAATACAGTGCAGAATCATAGCAAAAGTTATCTCAAGACACTTTAAGTCTAGATCATACTTGATTTATTAACAGAGACCCAACAATTCAAACGAATTCCCACCAAGAGCAAGCACCTAGTGCGACAGTGGACAGGAAACGCATCTTTATAAACGGCAAAAAACCAAGACTCTATGTGAGCGTCCATCTGCCTCTGCTGAGACCCTAAGACTCCTGTCCGTCTGTTTTCCTGCCGACTAATTAATGCCAAGTAAAGTCAGCAAGAATTTGTCAGGTAAACAGTAGGTCTGAGTAAACTCTCATCTACTTGATGGCGGGGACGATGCACTCGCCATTTCCCATGAGGAGGCATTTTTAGGTCTCTCTTTCATACTAATATTACCCCTCGGATGAATCGATTTAATTCATGAAATTGCTTTTATAAAGTTGAGAGAACGAACAATGTGAATGCAACACTGTCTCCGAACTGGGTTTTTAGATGAACTTTAACAGAAAAGGCAAACAAAGAGTTAAACACAGATAAACAATAGTAATGGATGATTACAATAAACCCTGGTTATGTTTTTGTTGTCATAAATTCTCCCTCTCTTGCCCAGGTGTCTCGCTTCACTGAGCCGTGTGACTGGTGTTCCAGTTCATTACCACAGACACACAGTCAACAGTTGTTTTAATCAAGCCACGTGCAGCTCTTCTCACCTCCTCTCCAATGGTTATATTGGGGCGCAGTCAGTGCGATGGCTGCTGTAAACCACCTCACGGGCCAATCAGGGCGTCCATTAGTCCTTACGGGGCTTTCATGCACTCATTTCTCTCCATCAGCCACATTTGTCTAAACATTGGGCTTGAGTTTGACTGTGAAATGTGTCCGGCTATTGCTGGTTTAGACCACACATGGGGACATATCAGTGGGTCTCAGGAGTGCCTCGGATTGGCACGGTCAAGATATTGTAAATTAACTGTAGTTATCAGGTGTGACAAAAGTGAAACCTCTACAATGATCCATTTGAAAGCAGCGTAGCCACAAGTTCAACTGGGGGAAAAGAGCTGTCAGTGTGATTTATGTCTAAGCCCCTGACTTTGACGTGGCCTGTCTTAAATGGCCCATTTAGAACGGAGATAATGAGTAAACCCAGCATTTTCTTTGGCCTCAAAGGACACCGTGCAAAAAGACAAAAGAGTGTGGATTGAAAGCTTGCCCGCCCCTGAGCCCATCCTTCATCGCTGCATTGAGCTCCCGCTAAAGTCCCTGACAAAGGGGAAGTATCCCTACCACCACCTGAGGAAAGACGAGTCACATGATCAGCTGCGGGGGGTTCTGGGAGATCTGGGACTCTTGAATACGGAGGGGGTAGGATTCTCGGAGGAACGCCACGGCTTTGTGTTCGCTGACTCAGCAACTCTAGACAGTTGTTTGGAGTAAAAAACCCACCTACAGGTCTAACCTAGCTCTTCTATTGATTAGAACATAGCAGGTTGAGGCTCTGATAGCTCTCTGTGGACGACAACCGACAAATCAAGAGATGAGAGATGAGTATCAGGTGGGGAGGAAGTACAGCAACCAAGGTGCTAAGTAACACATCTGACTCTTATAATAAGAAAACGATCCTGCAGCTCAACTGTCAAAAAACAAATCGAGAAAACAAAACTGCCAGCATGTGAAAATTCCCGCAGCAGAATCCCCTCTCCTACCCGCTTCACGTGCGCTACCTGACGCCAAAGGTGCTAAGACTCGCACTGCTGTTTACTATCCGGGTGGCAGTCCGCGGCTCTCATTTCCTTATAAAAGCCCCACAAGCTTCTTCGAAACCACCTCACCCCTGCTCCATGGGACTGCCTGCTGGGCCCTGAAGTGCAAATCAGTGCTAGTGAGGATAGCAGATGAGCTAAGGTCATTCATGGCTTTCCAGTGGGCCACACAAACAAAGGCAAACATTCCAGCTGAATGCCATTGCTGAAGTCGGCAGCAACAGAGAGAAAGAGAGGGAGAAGGAGACAGAGCAGGGCTCAGTGGAGATAATAGCCCCAGGGTGTATGTGTGCATGCACGTGCATGTGTGCATGTGTGTGTGTTCTAGGGGATTATCTGTGGAACTATAAAGTGGGGTGAACCAGGGTTTAAGGCCTGGTGTGACCAGAGGGAACGGGGGCAGGGTACAGGGACTGAGGAGGGGTGGACAAAAGGAGCATTTGGGCAGATGAAGAAGTCATCATCATTAAGCCACTGGAAGTTTACTGTCCAGTTATAAAACTCATTTCAAAATTAGGGGCTAGGGGGTGCGTGTGAAAGGGCAGCAGTGCTGGGGTTGGCCTGCGAGGGGCTGGAGGGCGGTGTAGTGACTCGCTGAGGGACTGTAGTGCTAATTCATTAGGGGGACAAGCAGCCTTTGTGTTAACAGGAGTTGATTGGAGTGGTGACCTTGCCACACACTCTGGCCTGGCGGATGAGTTTAAGGGCAAGGCTTTTAACCTTAAACTAAATCTGAGCCACGGGCAAAGGCCAGAATCATTTAATGGCACGGGTCCACCAAACAGATAACTGACGCAGCACAAATGTAAACAAACCTTGTTAAACGTAACCAACTCAGGGGTAACACGGCAAACGCTTTAGTTTACAGTAAAACTACGGTAAATACTGTAACTGATATTCCACCACTACAACCTGTCAAACAAGTCAAACAAGTAGGCCTACATGACATGCAAAAAAAAAGAAAAAGATATTAGGATTATTGTGACAGATACTGTGATTACGATATGAGTCATGATTTTACTGGGAATGGTAATTTTTGCACTTCATTTTCTCTGAAAAATAAAAAAATAGAAAAATTAAAATGTGACTTTTGCCTGGGTCTGCCTGCTGAACAAATGTTCCCTTATGTCTGCAATATGGTTTGTAGGCCGGGGCATCTTTGTAGCACCACAATACATCACCTTTAATGGTATGTTGTGGCACATTTTAACTTGCACATTGCAATTGGCCATATTGTGATTTACATAATATTTCTATTTATTGTGCAGAGCTACCAATACATGCCAATCATCTAATGGTATATACATTTTAATGAATACAGATGAGACATATATATACTTTCAACTGACCTTTAAGTGCAGCCGAAGTGTTTGAATCATGAAGACAACAAAAAAAACCCTAAAACTTCTTTTTATACTCAAAAACAGGGCTGCAACTAATTATTTTCCTTTTTTGATAATAATTTTCATAAATTTGTGTTTTTTTTGTTTTGTTTTTCGGGGTAATTTTTTCTGTTTTTCTGAGTATTTTTTTCTGAGTTAAGAGAGCAATAGAACAACAGACGCTTTCATTCCTTTCTTGAGAGCTCGATATAATGGAAGCAAACATGACCCACTTGTTTAGTTTAATCCAGTTTTACTTTGTTTTGGGTTTGAGACACTGGGAGACACTCTTGTCTTTAAGTCATATAGATGGTGTTATCATTAGTTAGTCGACTTTACGCAGGCACCTTAAGACTTTCCGGTTGTTCAGAAGAAAAGCCCATTCAGATCTGCTGGACATGGCAGTGTTTCTCCAGAATCAGTTGAACACATGACCCAAAACAAAGTAAAACTGGATTAAACTAAACAAGTGGGTCATGTTTGCTTCTATTATATCGAGCTCTCAAGAAAGGAATAAAAGCGTCTGTTGTTCTATTGCTCTCTTAACTCAGAAAAAAATACTCAGAAAAACAGAAAAAATTACCCCGAAAAACAAAACAAAAAATAC